CTTGTTGCCATGGAAATGCCCAAAATATTTTATTCAGAATTCCAAAACTACCAAAAGGCACCAGTACACCACCAGACCAATCTATGTGCCAAGTTTGGTGAAGAAATATTGAACAGTTTTAGAGTTCTGCTCCGGAAAAGATCACTACCACTAATTTCAGTCTAAGTCGAAATTGTTGCCATGGAAACGCCAAAAATATTTTATTCAAAATTCCAAAACTACCAAAAGGCACCAATACACCACCAGATCTATGTATGTGCCAAATTTGGTGAAGAAATAGTGAACAGTTTTAGAGTTCTGCTCCGGAAAAGACAAAAGTGCACGGACGGACGGACGCACGCATGGACGGAGTCCATTTTAATACCCCCCGCAAAACGCTTGGCGGGGGATAACAAGTGCACTCAATATACACACATGTATGTTTAACGATCATTTAAAAGACGAATGCTGAGAGGAATGAATGCGTTTTCACCTATACTGGTTTTAAAGCCCGGTACTAAATATCTCAATCCAGAAGGAAGCTTGAAAAATTCACTGTGAACATGATCTGGATCAGACAAATTTTCCATAGATAATTTCAAAGCTCTTTTTTCATACAGATACAACAGTAGGACTGACTGACTGACTGAGTTTGGTTTTACGCCGCTTTTAGCAATATTCCAGCAACATCACGGCAGGGGACACTAGAAATGGGCTTCACAAATTGTACCCATGTGGGGAATCAAACCCGTGCATGCCAATGACAAGCGAACGCTTTAACCACTAGGCTACCCTTATGCCGGTTAAGATTCCCAACATGGGTACAATGTATGAAGCCCATTTCCGGTGTCCAATGCTGTGATATTACTGGAATATTGCTAATAGCAACATAAAAACTTACTCACTCACTTTGAAGAGTAAATATTCATGACGATTTCATAATAAGTTTATTACATACCACTACGATTGAAACAAAATACTTTATCGCATGAATAATGTGATCTAAAAAAATAATGAGCTACACAGTACGCTACAGGTTACTTCATCACACATTTAACCACTTGCAGCAAAAGCCACCACTATCAGTATACAATGTACATCTACAGTTTCACCCAGTATGTACACTGAGTTGTCACCTGCCCAGTAATCTGAAGCCAGGTAAAACGCCAGCTAGTTTGACTTGTGGGATTCACTTTCAGTAAACTGAGTAATGTCAGGGTCTTAACGTGACCTGGAGACTATGGATCCCAAATACTTATTTCAAGAGTTCTGAAAAGTGAGTGAGTGAGTGAGTTTATTTTTATACCGCACTCAGCAATATTTCAGCTATATGGCAGCAATCTGTAAATATGCGAGTTTAATTTTATGCCACACTCAGCAATGTTCCAGCTACATGGGTGAGTGAGTGAGTATAGTTTTAAGCTGCTTTAAGCAATATTTCAGCAATGTCATGGCGGGGGACACCAGAAATGGGCTTCACATATTGTACCCATGTGGGGAATCGAACCCGGCTCTTCGGTGTGACAAGTAAACGGTTTAACCACTAGGCTACCCACTGCCCCTCCAGTTATATGGCAGCAGTCTGTAAATAATCGAGTCTGGACCAAAGAATCAAGTGATCAACAACATGAGCATCGATCTACGCAATTGGGATACGATGACATGTGTCCACCAAGTCAGAGAGTCCGACCACCCGATCCCGTTAGTCGCTTCTTACGGCAACCATTAGTTGCTGAAGACCACTTCTCAAAATATTCTTCCTGACCTTGTGTACTCTACTGATCTGTAAGAATAGCAGCATCTTTATTTAGAAGAACTTTACACCTCATGTCAAGAAAATGGAAAAATGAATTTTATTGAACATTCCACAGAATGCATTTATGCTTTCAGTGTCCATTCTGTGTCGTGCAAAACGATGAATGTTACCAAAGTTACGTAACATCTCAACATTCTCATCAGGGCTGGAAATAACTTTAAAATTGCTAGTGTACTCCGGTACAGTGGCACATGTAAAATCACTTGCCCTGATAATTTTTCCACTATACGGGCCGTTTTCTTGTTGCTTTTTTAAATAAACAGCATAATTAATATTGGAAAGTCAACTGGACTCCGGTACAGTATGATATACAAATTTGCTTGCCCAACAGAAAAAACACTGGACTCGGGCGTCGGGCAATGGGTTATTTCCACCCCTGCTCATCTGGAATGGTAACAGTTAATGCTGCAATGTAAACCCCTCCTTGACACAGCACTCACCCTACAGCTGGAATATTGATAACAAACCAACCAACACAGACCCCAAGCTGACCTGTCAACGACCTATCCCCTTACTATTAAGGGTTAGACTAACCTATCCACAAGACTTGGAAGTGGTAAATATTCTAAAGCAAGTGGTCAAGTAGCTGGATTTGGTTAAGTAACTGGATATAATTCACAGTGTAAACTCTTGGGTTATCTTCTAGATTTAATAATGCATTATATTCAAGACTAGGTTTCCAAATTAATCTCCATCCACTTTACAGGGCAGACTCCCTATATACTCGAGTCTAGAAGTGGTCAATATTATAGAGCAAGCTGTTACATAGTCGGATTTAATTCATGGTGCAGAGATGCCAACCCTGAATCTAAGGAAAACGGAGTAATGACTGGCTGAAAGGTGCGAGTTGGGGGTGAGCACATGGTCTGCTCTGCCATATTGTTTCACTTTCATACGGACTATGACATGCCTTCGGAAAAACTCTCTGGAACTTCATCATCAATAAGATGCAATATACACTATCGACACCCAATATACACAATCGACACCCAATGGATCACACGCTAAGCTTCTGAATGCTTTTACCAGTGTTCACTCATATAACTCACCAGTGACTTACGAAATTGTATACCGTAAAAATAAATTCAAAATTTTTTCTCAAACATCAGAGTTTTTTAAAGAGAAATCGGAGTGCAGATTTTGTATTTGAAATTCGGAGTAACTCCGCCAAAATCGGAGTGGCTGGCATCTCTACATCTTCAAAATTTACTAACTTATTGAAAAGGGGACTGGACATATTATATTCTGTTGTACTGACACCTGTGGCAAGGCTTAAGCAAACAATGCACCCAAGATCATAAGCCTTGAACTTGCCCATGATCCAAAAAGATTAGAATCAGCATAAGTGGACTATGAATGTCCAGCTGTGTCCAGACAAATGTACCATATTGAAACACATCTGTCACAAGACACAAGGAGGTCCTCTGTTCTTAGCCCAGCTGTTCATTTGGCACGTGAATATTCAAGATTCTAAAACATGTGTCTCTTATTACAAATGTCTATTGTGTATCATCTTCCTCATGACACTACAGCATGAAAGAAATGTTTTCTGAATCTATTACAAATGTGTAAATCACTATATTTATAATCAAATAAATAAAACTCTTGCCATTCTCTGACACACATTCTTATTAATCTTTTGGTAAAACAGTAGCATATATTTCATAGTTATACAGGAAGACATAACACCTTTCTAGAGTGGACAAAATGTGTATTAGGCACAACCTTTAAGGAAAACACCTTTAATAACTATCAGTGAATTTATAAGAAAGGTGAATATATTTTTCTATAGCAATTAGCACAATCAGTGACAGTTACTTATCTACTTCACTGGCCATGTTCATTCTATTTGCTTGAGGCATTTACACATGATCAGGAAGCTTGGTCTTTGTCTGTGGGATTTCTCATATGGTAATATAAATATTGTATTGACAATGAAATATTAGTACTGGGCAGACAAGCTTCATTTTTCACCTGGTTCCCTAAAAATTTCATTATTGTGCACATTGTGCAATTCAACATGTACAGCTTTGTGTGTTTAGTTGACGATGATAATTAATGGTGATTAATGGATTTATGGATGATAGTTAATAGCATTCAATGATAACTGAAAATCAGACAATGAGACAATGAGACAATAAACAAGGTTTTAGGGTGTGAATGTTTTGGTTCTTTAATTTTATTCTTTATAATTTGTGAGATTTTTTTCCGCTCTTTTTTAAATATTTTTTGGCAATTGTTTTTGTTGTGGAGGGGTTAAAAGAGCTCACAGCAATGAAAAATAATATCAAACTAATACCCAAATAAAACAGAAAATCCCTAACTATGTGTGAATTCTGCTTGTAAATTATGTTGCAAACACAACAGTGCAATGAGTATGCCTGATCTGGGTGATGATGGGCCAATCCTTTTCTACCAAATACATTTGAAAAAATCGAAATTATGTCATTTTGTTTCTTTACTTATGAATATATTTAACATCCAACACACAAGTTTATTACAAAATGATTAATGGATATAAACATCCAAATTAGAACGTAGCATTACACTGTCTCAACCCTTTTCGTCGAACAGCTGATTGCACCACAATGGCAATAAATAGGGTTACCAGGCCATTAAAATATCAACTTACCAAAAGAACGTCCTTGACAAGAAGTTTGCAGATTCAATGGGATTCGGGTTGTGATGTCTAAGCGTTTCATCCATGGTTGTTGAGATGTGTTAACCCGAGTACAAACGTTGATCATGAATGGAATGAATGAAAGAGCAGACAGGCAATGAACAAGAGGTCATACATGTATACCTTTCGCGGATCCGAATACTCGGTATGTTCCGGCAACAACACGGAAACATACGGGAAAACACGACCGGCTTCTTAGACTGGTCTGCCTGCCGAAGAGCGCTTGCTGGTTCCTAAGCTGGTTCCCGGCTCCCTTTGCGCGCGCAACCTTGCGACAAAGCTTACTCTAAGCTGGGCCCCGTCTCCCATATCGCAATATTGTCGCACGGTTAAGCGCGCAAAGGGAGCCGGGAACCAGCTTAGGATTAGTCGGCCTTGACGGGTATCCGTATCTCCTACTGGTCGTCCTTCGCTGCACTTAAACGGCCTTCCAAGCATATATCGCAGGAACGAACGGGAACCAGTCTACTGGGACACGAAGATCGGTTACCAGTCTTATTAGACTCCGCTGCACGTACTTGCACCTCTTGGAAAAAAGACGCCCTGTTTGGAGCTTTGCAATCAGAAGACGGAAAATATCGAGAGTTTCCGATTGCAATTAACGCCAATCGATTTCAATTTAGGTCTAAACAAGTTTACAAACTATTGTCATTGGATCATTATTCGTGGGCGATTATGTCCTTATAAATTGTGGAAAGGATCAATGTCAAAGCTCCAAGTTAGAACAAGATATTTTTGGTCAGTAAACTCTTGAACAGGGTTGTCGTGTAATAAAAGACAAGGTTAGTTGCTGATGTGGAAATCAAGATGCGGTCAGGAGTTTCAACGACGATGTAAAATGGCGCTGAATTCAACTTTTCTTCAGTGAGACGGGGATAGCGTGTTTTAGGTTTGTTTTTGATGTGTACATCTTTACTTATACATTTAATGTATGTATATTGTAAAGGATCTTTGGAAGATAGGAATGATTTCCGCCGTAACCCCCGTATTGTTTTTCGAAAGAGTTCCTTCCGTTCCCTCAACTCTAAACCTAGCCCTAACTTAAATTTTAGACTTTTAATCATTTTTTGAGTTCTCTAGTAATTGTTGTGTTAAGTTTTGTTTATAATTCTAGAATATTTATACATATTATTTGGGATGGGGGAACGGGATGAACTCTTACCCCTAACCACAAACCTAACCCTAAACCCTCGAAACAATCCTAATAAATAGAATACATTTCAAGCGGGGGTTACGGGCGGAACTCTACCAGGCTGGAAACTAATATACTTATATTAGTGGAGATGTGTATGTCCCTTAATCAATCAATGTAAACATAGATCGGTAATCATGGGAACAATTAAGCATGGAAATCATATTGTGATAATTTGTTAATGATAAAACCAAGCCGGTGTTACATTCTCAAATATTCCGATTACACCTCTATAAAAGTTAGGGTAGGCAGGGAAGATTATTTTTTTTAAATTTCTATTTAGAAATAAAGTACAAAGTAGTAACACATTTATCAATACGTCGTTTATTCAATCAAGCTTTCGTAACGAACCGTCAGAGCCAAGAAAAACAATGGTATCTGAAAGCTTATTTTATTCATACCACTTACAAAAAATAGGGTCGGCACCAGAATTTAAGGGTTGGTCGGGTAATCGGAACCACAACATTTTTTTAGGCCTGTTTTAATAATCCCATTTGGATGGATTAATGATTAGAATTAGATCATTCTGTCTTTAGTAAGTCGTTCTATAGATAGCATACACTAAAGTAATCATGATAATCCCCTTATGATACTAAAAAGGTTACATTCTACTGGCTGCCGAACAGATATCGCAGAGTATTAGTTATTGCCAATACATCCGTATCATGCGTGCGCAGTTCCGGTCACTTACACTTCGGGTATTTTTGTCCCACGTTATTGACAACAATAAAGGACAGCAAAAGAAAGTTCTACATGTTAATTAAAGTAACATAAGAGAAAAGATAAAGTTATGAACCCTATAAAAAATGTTTAACTTAGTGGGGGGTGGATATCACATGATCTATATAATAGCAAGTTCAAGTTCACAAAAGTCATTAATCGTTTCATTCACTATCACTCTACTATAAAAACACTCAGCTATTCACTAGTCAATTATTCGAGGTTACTTTATGATATAAATCTACTGCATTATTTCACGAATGACATGAACAATTCTGAAATGGCGGTAACTGTTACAGTTTGTTGTGTATGATTCCCTTCCGCCGTGTTATATAAAAACACAATGGATGGCAGTGAACAGGCTGGACACATCGGTGAATAGCTAATTAAGTATCATAATTAATTCTGTTTCATTAATTTAACGAACAACGGAGTAAGTTTGTAAATACTGCTAAAATTTGGCGATAACTGTTCGGGAGCCAGTACTGGTTGTAGCTGATGCAAACCAGTTATGTGTGTTATGAAGGCCTAAAATAAAATATTCAACCAATCACAATTAATGTCTGTTTGAATGGAATTTTAGAAGTTGGTGGGTAATAAGAGTTTTATGGGTAACACTGACTGACTGTGTTTGGTTTTACGCCGCTTTTAGCAATATTCCAGCAACATCTCGGCGGGGGACACTAGAAATGGGCTTCACTCATTGTACCCAAGTGGGGATTCGAACCCGGGTCTTCGGCGTGACGAGCCAACTCTTTAACCATTAGGCTACCCCACCGCCCCTTTATGGGTAACAACTTCTTTATGTTCTTATTGTTATCCATAAAACAAGGGGCGGTGGGGTAGTCCTGTGGATAAAGCGTTGTCGCGTCACACTGAAAACCAGGGTTTGAATCCCCACATGGGTACAATGTGTGAAGACCATTTCTGGTATCCCCTGCCGTAAAATTGCTGGAATATTGCTAAAAGCGGCATAAAACCAAACACACTCACTCACTCCGTAAAACATATCATATTTTCATTGATAGTCCAACTTTTCAAGAACTTCGTGTGAGTGAAAATTTACTAACATTATTAACATTATCCTGTATTGGTTAAGTATATGAAAACAAATTGGTGTAAACTATAAACCACCTATTCCAAAACTAATTAACCCAATCCAATCCCCCCACCCCTCTCTGGCTTCTCTAACTAATCCCCTTGCCTAATTAGTTATCCCTATTCCCACTGGGGGGGGCGGTTGGGTAGCCTAGTGGTTAAAGTGTTGGCTTGTCACACCGAAGACCCGGGTCCGAATCCCCACATGGGTACAATGTGTGAAGCCCATTTCTGGTGTTCCCCCGCCGTGATGTTGCTGGAATATTGCTAAAAGCGGCGTAAAACTAAACTCAGTCAGTCAGTCAGTACTCCCACTGGTATCCATTCATCATGTTATCTTATGTATATTTGTGATATTTTTCATTGTTAATCATCTTGTTTATCATCCATTGTCTTTGTTAGCCCTCATGTACCCTATATATATCCTGCTGTACTCATTTGCTACTTCATGCTTGAAAACGGTATAAGTATCTATACCGAAACGTCGCAGTTATGCAGTAAAGAAGTTGATCATCCGTAAATACTTGTCATTCCTGGTGTAAACTATATTTATAATGAACACACTAATAATTAGTGGTGATCCGATTAATTGAAATAATCGAAGATTGGTCGCAGTGACTAAACGACCAAGCAATCGATCATGTTTTCTCATAATCGAACACAAACAATTCTAGAACACTTGTTTTCATTGACAGTATTTTTCACATGGTTGGTTTTGTCTGTTACATTTCATAAGCACTACAAGCTCGTTCCAAGTCATGATTGAATTTATCTTAAAGACTCTAAGAAATTTATGTTCCTCCATACTAGTCATCCTTTAAAGATGTGAAATTTTGCCCCAAAACCCCCCAAAGAACTACATGTTTTTTCCTTATTTTTGTGTGCATTAACACATTTCATAAATGACGCTAACCAATTATTTTCGATGATTGATCGGTTGTAATGAACCAATCATCAATTATGAGATTTTAACCAATTCCCAACACTACTAATAATGAAATTACAGATGAAACAAGACGTTTTTCTTGGTCTCTTGCACTTGTATATTTTAGTCGATATGTGCATAAAAAAACTGTGGTTATAACAAACTTAACGTAGCTGTCCGAATTAGTTCATTTGAATTGTGTAACTGTATCAGTTTACTGCATGATTATTAGTTTATGTCCCATCTCTCTGCAGTTTTACAATGTCTGTGAGCAGCTGCACAACTGTGGAGTCTGTTACCATGGTAACAGATGAGATGACCTCAGGCCAGTCATCCCAGAAACAGGCTGAATATGAAACACAGTATTTTGGTTTCACCCCAAAGTCTTTTAGCAATGGTGGTAAGTGCACATGGCAACGATAATATTGCTTTTATATTAAGCATGTTAAAGGTAGAAAGGGAAGAATAAAGGGTTTTCGTTGATAGCGAGTGAAGAAAGTGTTCCCATACTACATGTAGTCAGTACTACCTTCCCTGAAACTGTTGTTGAGTTGTCACACAAGTGAAGTATTTTTGGCTGAATGTGTTGGATCCATACTTATAATCTGTTCATATCGGTTTCAATTTGTCTTCAGCAACCCAAGCTTGTCGTAAGAGGCGACTAATGGGAACGGGTGGTCAGGCTTGTCATTGTATCCCAATTGCGTAGATCGATGCTCATGTTATTGATCACTGGTTTGTCTGGCCCATACTCCACTGCAGACTGCTGCCATATAGCTGGAATATTGCTGATTGTGGTGTTAAACGACAAACAAAATCATTATCTGTTCTTATCAATGTTTGATTTACAAATTAAATTTCCCAAACCACCAATATTTAAATAAAAATAAACAATAGATTAGCTTGTGAGTGATCTCTCATAAGCATGATAATAGTCAGAAGGATGAAATATGACTGTGTTGTTTTGTTTGTTTATAGCAGTGACAAGTCAAAGAGTTTTGTCCAATTTCTACCACATCTTATATTTTGGTTTGACTGATCCAAAACTTATCCCATAATCTCCTATGCTGTACTGTAGTGATAAGCCCAAATCACCATCAGGGTGGAAATAACCAATTGCCTGACGTCCGAGTCCAGTGTTTTTTTCTGTTGGGCAAGCAAATTTGTATATCACACTGTACCGGTGTCCAGTTGACCTTCCAACGTTCATTATGTTGTTTATTTAAAAAATCAACAAGAAAACAGTCGGTACAGTGAAAAATTATCAGGGCAAGTGATTTTACATGTGCCACTGTACCGGAGTACACTAGCAATTTTAAAGTTATTTCCACCCCTGACCATGCTAGGTACCTGCACTGAATACTAGTGGTGGTCCGATTACTTGAAATAATCGAAGATTGGCCGCAGTGGCTAAACAACCAAGCAATCGATCATGTTTACTCATAATCGAACGCAACCAATCTTGGAACACTTGTTTGCTTTAACAATATTTTTCACAAGGTTGGTTTTGTCTGTGTCATTAAATTTACATTTCATAAGCACTACAAGCTCGTTCCAAGTCATGATTGAATTTATGTTAAAGAATCCTGGAAATCTGTGTTCCTAACATACTGGGGCAGTGGGGTAGCCTAGTGGTTAAAGCGTTGGCTCGTCACGCCGAAGACCCGGGTTCGATTCCCCACATGGGCACAATGTGTTAAGCCCATTTCTGGTGTCCCCCGCCGTGATATTGCTGGAATATTGCTAAAAGCGGCGTAAAACTAAACTCAGTCAGTCAGTCAGTCCTAACATACTAATCATCCTTTAAATATGCGAAATTTGCACACAAAAAACAAATTACTACATGTGTTTTCTATATTTTTGTGTGTGCATTAACAAAGATAACAGGAACATTTGATAAATGACGCTAACCAATTATTTTCGATGATTGATCGGTTATAATGGACTAATCTTCGATTATTTCAATTAATCGGACCACCACTACTGAATACCAGTTGGGATCTGCCTAGTTGTATGTTAACATTCTGTGATCTGTCCCTGGTTGATGGACTGTATGTTTGCTGCAGTGTATAATGCTGTCAATGACTACATGATGGATGGGCTGCAGGCTGTGGAGGGCTACATGAACACTGAGGTAGGTGCCAATTGACAGTTTGGATGTTGTATTCCCTTCTGTTGCTGCAGCAAGAAATGAAGTTTGATGAGAGTGAATGTCTTAAAACAATGTGAGTTAGGTAATTAAAATGTCTTAGAACAAAAAGTTATGTTGAAAGTTTATTTTTAGAGTGTACAAGCCAATTGGCGTATATCCCAGTAATCTTGACCAGCGTTCAAAGTTAAGGGGTGCTGGGGTTATTGAGGTCTTCTGTTGTGTACATAGTATATGTGCTGTTTTCTGCGTTACAGTATGGGTGAAGTGGTGTTTCCTCTGTTAAAAGTATTGGATGAGGTGAGGTGAAATTGGGTTTAACGTCGTGCTTGAGAAAATTTCGCTCATAAGACGACGTGCATGCGTGTGTACATGTATGTGCGGCTGCTTGTACTAGCCCAGACTTAAGCTGGTTTTATAGTGCTAGCCCACTGAGATATCATGCCGCAGTGAAACATGAATACCCCACTCAGACACATTATACTGACTTCGAGCCGAACAGTCCGTGATGTACCCATTAATGCCGAGAGCCAGGCAGGGACCAACAAGTACCATATTTTAACGTCTTTTGGTATGATGCGGTTGGGGATCGAACCCGCGGCCTTCCGCTCTCCGGGCGGACGCTCTAACCACTGTGTTGTTTCCCATGTTACAGTTTGGGATGAAGTGTTGTTTCAGTGTAGTTGTTTCTTGTGCCAACTGAGCTTGTTTTCTATGTTACATTGAGGTTGTTTCCAATGTTACAGTGAGGATGTTTTCTATGTTACAGTGAGGTTTCTGATGTTACACTGAGCTTGTTTTCTATGTTACACTGAGCTTGTTTTCTATGTTACACTGAGCTTGTTTCCTATGTTACAGTGAGGTTGTTTCTTGTGTTACAGTGAGGTTGTTTCCGATGTTACACTGAGCTTGTTTTCTATGTTACAGTGAGGTTGTTTCTTGTGTTACACTGAGCTTGTTTCCTATGTTACAGTGAGGATGTTTTCTATGTTACAGTTAGGTTGTTTCTTGTGTTACAGTGTGGTTGTTTTTGATGTTATACTGAGCTTGTTTCCTATGTTACAGTATACAGTGAGGTTGTTTCCTATGTTACAGACCGGTCCGGGTTAGAATGAACCTTCAGTAACCCATGCTTGTCGTAAGAGGCGACTAACGGGATCGGGTGGTCAGGCTCGCTGGCTTGGTTGGCACATGTCATTGGTTCTCAATTGCGCAGATCGATGCTCATGCTGTTGATCACTGGATTGTCTGGTCCAAACTAGATTTATTTACAGACTGCCGTCATACAGCTGGAATATTGCTGAGTGCGGCGTTAAACAAAACTCACTCACTCACTCACTCCTATGTTACAGTATGGAGATGTTATAGCACCAAGTCAAGTAAATGAAGGAGTACAGAAGATGCAACAGAAGATGGCCAAACAGGTGGACAAGGCTTTCGACACACTCGAGGTATGTTCATCAGGCGGAGTGTTTGCCCTGCTCTCCTGTAATTTTGCCATATTACTAAGTCAAAGCATGCATGTAGATCCCAAGTAAGAATTGGTCTTCAGCAACCCATGCTAACCCATAAGCAACTAACCTCAGAGCTCCAGATAAGCTGCTTATTTGCATATAATACGCTGAAGCAAAAAATAAATGCCAGCGTATGAAAAAACACTAAATATTTACGTTTACGCTATGTCAAAATACCAATGCGTATTTACCCAATACATCAAAATCATGTTGTATCCCAATTGCGTAGAGCGATGGTTATGCTGTTGATCACTGGATTGTCTTGTCCAGACTTGGTTATTTACAGACTGGTAAACTGCTGAATGAAACAAACAAATAAACAAAACTAAGTCCAGATAAGATGCATTTACTAGTTGTTAGTCATTAGTAGAAGTATGGACTGAATCTGTTCTCTAGTTAATAGAATGTGGTCATTTTATACCAGTTACTTTGATACCCAGGATGTAGAAGACACTTGACTCTCTAGAAGGAACTTAAGGTTACATCAGCACAGTGTTTTGATGCTCATTCATGATGTTAAAAACTGGTTTGTGTGGACCAGACATGATTTTAAAGGCCAATGTTGAAATTGGAATGTTGAACAAGTGTGAGGTTAAATGTATATATAAGGTTGCCATTTGAGTCAAAATTATTTTGACATACCAGAAGAATCCAAATACTTTTCCCTATAAAATGAAAAAGGTTATTCAAAATTCTGTTCATTAAACATGTTCATGATTTTCCCTTTTTTGGTCCTAATTACAGCGGGGCGGTGGGGTAGCCTAGTGGTTAAAGCGTTGGCTCGTCACGCCGAACACCCAGGTTCGAATCCCCATATGTGTGAAGCCCATTTCTGGTGTCCCCTGCTGTGATGCTGCTGGAATATTGCTAAAAGCGGCGTAAAACCAAAACTCAGTCAGTCAGTCCTAATTACAGCACTTTTTTCACAGGCTTCACATAATAAAAAATAGCTGCATGGCAAAACAAATGTGATTTCTACAATGTTCTCTTTGCCTTTGCAAGTCTGAGGAACAGGGTCCCGTTTCATAAAGCTCTCGTAAGCCTAAGATCTTGTAACTTTTCTCGTACCATTCGCTATACTGTAACGCCAAGACCGGGTTACCATTAGTTCTTCCTATACTGTAACATTGACTTACGACAGTCGTAGCGCCTACGAGTGCTTTGTGAAACGGGGCCCTGATCTCTTAATCTAAGCTTGTTATTATAAATGATAAAGTTCTTGATAACATTTTCTTAGGCATATCTCTTCACGAACATCTTCTGTATTCCGGAAAACACTGTTCTGCCCGAGGATCGAGTGAAACAAGACAAGATGTACACAGAAGATGAGGAGAAGAAAATACACAAGGACATAGAGGAATATACACAGAAAATACTGGCTGTGAGTCAACATGAAACTACTGTGTTCAAGTTTACGGGTATTGATTGATAAGTTCTGAGCCATGAATAGAAAGAATTGCGTCATGGTTAAATCTTTCATTGAGGACATTACAGGGTGTAATTCAGGTATATCCATAAGAAGTGAGTCAAATGAACAAATTGCTATGATGTGACAACACATACTTAGGAAATTTGAGGAATGTGCTCGGATTTAAGTAGTTTCATGAAATACAAAACGGTCATTCATGACAATATGGGCACTACACACAGAAAGGATAATGTATGCCGCTGTAAACAGAGGGACATAGAGTTTAATCATTGCTGGGAGACATACCACATCTTACTCTGTTTGTCGCTGATCCAGAAAGGTTCTTGCAAACATTTCTCGCCATAAATAAAACCAGGGTTTGTCACTTCTGAACAACAATGAAAACAGTGGAAGCAGAGTATCAGGGTTTAATGATCATAACACACAATGCTGGCCTTGTAACTTGAGATGTAATGTGAAATGAGGGGCAAGTGTTAGCACCCCTTATATACAAAAGAAAAAGATGCTAGAAAATTCAACATTATTACCCACGTGGTCAACGTATGGGTAGTTGCATACTTATCTCGTATGTCACACGTGGTCAAAGTGTCGTATCGCGTTGACCTGTGTCGTAACGACTTGACCTGAGATTCTAACGATTTGATTGGATAACCAATGACCTCTCAAGTAGGTCACGTTGTGACGGAACTACTTTTTCATTCATAACAAACACGTGAATTCATTCATTCTACAACTTATATGCATAGTGGGAATGTAAACATTGTGAACGTTGCCATATCGCTGTTTAATTGTGAGTCGAGCTGAGACATTATATGTGTCGTAAAACGTAAACGCAAAGTTTCCACCAGTGATGTTAGCCGAGTGAAGCAACTGCAAACTAAGAAACTGGGGGGGTACAGCGTAGTTTAATGTAGGAGGCTGTACGAGGCGATGACAACTGACATGCATCGTGACGTTGGTTACCAAGGGGCCAGACGAGCAAGGCGTAGTGACTTCATTACAGTGTGACATCATGCAAAAAGTGTACTTCAGAACAACATTCTTCCGCAACATCTTTATGAAACCGGTTTCGGTTTGAAACCATAAACATAACAAAATTACGCTATTTTGTCACTTTCAGGCATGTAAGACGGTAATAAATAAAATACCACACTCGGTCTCATAACATACGAATTATACGAAATTCATGACCTTCCTATGGTTTCTGACCTCGCTTTCGCACAGTCAGATGCCATAGGAGGGACACTCGTTTCATATAATTCGTATGTAATGAGACATTGTGTAGTATTCTCTATATACGCTCTAAGGCACATGATTCTGGAATCAGCTCCTTGTACCACTTTCCAGATATTTCTGACTAAATCTAGTACATGTCAAACCACACCACTGCCCCTTGCTGAATCTACAGGTACCATGTATACAGTTGACACATTGTTTAACACTGACACATAACAACATAATCATTGGCCAAAGTGTGTCTGCAACTAAAGGTTATGGTGTTCAGGAATGTCAAAATGGCAGGTCATCTTCAAAAGGCCAGACAGTAAACGGTGTAGTTTGGAGGCAATTACAACTGAAGCGTCTGAGATTGAGGAGGCTAAAATATGTGTGCTCCTCAATCAGTAAGATCATTCTTTACCATTGTTACCACCCACTACAAATTCATTACCAGGGTTACATTCCACTACACATTCATTACCATTGTTACAACCTACTACACATTCATTACCATTGTTACAACCCACTACACATTCTTTGCCACAGTTATATTCCACTACACATTCATTACCATTGTTACAACCCACTACACATTCATTACCATTGTTACCACCCACTACACATTCATTACCATTGTTACAACCCACTACACATTCATTACCATTGTTACCACATATTACACAGTCATTGCCATTGTTACAACCCACTACACAGTCATTACCATTGTTACAACCTACTACACATTCATTACCATTGTTACAACCCACTACACATTCACTGCAATGGTTACAACCCACTACACATTCATTACCATTGTTACAACCTACTACACATTCATTACCATAGTTACAACCCACTACACATTCATTACGACGGTTACATTCCACTAAACATCCATTACCATTGTTACAACCCACTACACATTCATTACCATTGTTACAACCCACTACACATTCATTACCATTGTTACAACCTACTACACATTCATTACCATTGTTACAACCCACTACACATTCTTTGCCACAGTTATATTCCACTACACATTCATTACCATTGTTACAACCCACTACACATTCATTACCATTGTTACCACCCACTACACATTCATTACCATTGTTACAACCCACTACACATTCATTACCATTGTTACCACATATAACACAGTCATTGCCATTGTTACAACCCACTACACAGTCATTACCATTGTTACAACCTACTACACATTCATTACCATTGTTACAACCCACTACACATTCACTGCAATGGTTACAACCCACTACACATTCATTACCATTGTTACAACCTACTACACATTCATTACCATAGTTACAACCCACTACACATTCATTACGACGGTTACATTCCACTAAACATCCATTACCATTGTTACAACCCACTACACATTCATTACCATTGTTACAACCCACTACACATTCATTATCATTGTTACAACCCCACTACACATACAACTCCATTACCATTGTTACAACACATTCATTACCATTATTACACACTACACATTCATTACCATTGTTACAACCCACTACACATTCATTACCATAGTTACAACCCACTACACATTCATTACCATTGTTACAACCCACTACACATTCATTACCATTGTTACAACCCACTACACATTCATTACCATTGTTACAACCCACTACACATTCATTACCATAGTTACAACCCACTACACATTCATTACCATTGTTACAACCCACTACACATTCATTACCATTGTTACAACCCACTACACATTCACTACCACACAATCCATTCATTACACATTCATTTACCATTGTTACAACCTACTACACATTCATTACCATTGTTACAACCACTACACATTCATTACCATAGTTACACTAACATTCCACTACACACTTCATTACCATTGTTACAACCTACCACTACACATTCATTACCATTGTTACAACCCACTACACATTCATTACCATTGTTACAACCACTACACATTCATTACCATTGTTATAATCCACTTACCATGTTATTACTCCACAGTTCCACTACACATTCATTACCATTGTTACAACCCACTACACATTCATTACCATTGTTACAATCCACTACACATTCATTACCATGGTTACATTCATTACCACTACACATTCATTACCATTGTTACAATCCACTACACACATTCATTACCATTGTTACAACCCACTACAACATTCATTACCATTGTTACAACCCACACATTACACATTCATTACCATGGTTACAGTTACAAACTACACATTCATTACCATTGTTACAACCCACTACACATTCATTACCATTGTTACAACACCACTACACATTGTTACAACTCCACTACACATTCATTACCATAGTTACAACCCACTACACATTCATTGCCATGGTTACAACCCACTACACATTCATTACCATTGTTACAACCCACTACACATTCATTACCATTGTTACAACCCACTACACATTCATTACCATTGTTACAACCCACTACACATTCATTACCATTGTTACAACCCACTACACATTCATTACCATTGTTACAATCCACTACACATTCATTACCATTGTTACAACCCACTACACATTCATTCCATTACCATAGTTACAACCCACTACACATTCATTACCATTTAGTTACAAACCCACTACACATTCATTACCATTGTTACAACCTACTACACATTCATTACCATTGTTACAACCCACTACACATTCATTCCACTACACATTCATTACCACATTCATTACCATTGTTAATTCCACTACACATTCATTACCATTGTTTACCACTACACATTCATTACCATTGTTTAACATTCCACTACACATTCATTACCATTGTTACAACCCACTACACATTCATTATTACCATTGTTACAACCCACTACACATTCATTACCATTGTTACCACCCACTACACAATTACCATTCTTACACCCATACACATTCATTACCATTACACATTAACCATTCCACTACACATTCATTACCACTACACATTGTTACATTCCACTACACATTCATTACCATTGTTACCACCCACCACATTCATTACCACGGTTACATTCCACATTCACCACATTACCACATTACCACACCCATTACCACACATTCTTACTACACATTCATTACCATTGTTAGGAACCCACTACACATTCATTACCACTACACATTCATTACCATTGTTACCCACTCACACATTCATTACCACGGTTACATTCCACTACACATTCATTACCATTGTTACCTCCCACTACACATTCATTACCACGGTTACATTCCACTACACATTCATTACCATGGTTACATTCCACTACACATTCGTTACCATTGTTACCACCCACTACACATTCATTACCAGGGTTACATTCCACTACACATTCATTACCATTGTTGCCACTCACCACACATTCATTACCATTGTTACCACTCACCACACATTCATTACCACAGTTACATTCCACTACACATTCATTACCATTGTTACATTCCACTACACATTCATTACCATAGTTACAACCCACTACACATTCATTACCATTGTTACATTCCACTACACATTCATTACCTTAGTTACAACCCACTACACATTCATTACCATTGTTACAACCCACTACACATTCATTACCATAGTTACAACCCACTACACATTCATTGCCATTGTTACAACCCACTACACATTCATTACCATTGTTACAACCCACTACACATTCATTACCATTGTTACAACCCACTACACATTCATTACCATTGTTACCACCCACTACACATTCATTACCATTGTTACAACCTACTACACATTCATTACCTTTGTTAGAACCCACTACACATTCATTGTCATCGTACATTCCACTACACATTCATTACCATTGTTACCACCCACCACACATTCATTACCACGGTTACATTCCACTACACATTCATTACCATAGTTACGTTCCACTACACATTCATTACCACGGTTACATTCCACTACACATTCATTACCATTGTTACCTCCCACTACACATTCATTACCACGGTTACATTCCACTACACATTCATTACCATTGTTACCACTCACCACACATTCATTACCACGGTTAAATTCCACTACACATTCATTACCATTGTTACCACTCACCACACATTCATTACCACAGTTACATTCCACTACACATTCATTACCATTGTTACATTCCACTACACATTCATTACCATTGTTACATTCCACTACACATTCATTACCATAGTTACAACCCACTACACATTCATTACCATTGTTACAACCTACTACACATTCATTACCTTAGTTACAACCCACTACACATTCATTACCATTGTTACAACCCACTACACATTCATTACCATAGTTACAACCCACTACACATTCATTGCCATTGTTACAACCCACTACACATTCATTACCATTGTTACAACCCACTACACATTTATTACCATAGTTACAACCCACTACACATTCATTACCATTGTTACAACCCACTACACATTCATTACCATTGTTACCACCCACTACACATTCATTACCATTGTTACCACCCACTACACATTCATTACCATTCAGGGCTCCAGATAAGGGCCGATATCGGCTTATGTACGGATATAAAATAAGCACGATACGGTAGGAAATAATTTAGAAAACGTAGCAGCAGATATACGCACCACAACATTGGTGTACGGTCTTAGAATCATTTACAGACGCATTTATCTGAAAAAGTATTGTTTCATTGTTTATTGACCTGTTCACACAAGAGTAGCAATGTTGTGGTGCATATATGAAACGAAACCCAAGATTACTGATACTCCATTAAATTCCATTCAGTACTCTAAATGTACTTTTATTGTTTTCCAGTACTCCTATATTGAAAAAATAAGGAGTACATACTCCTGATCATGAAAAATGATCTGGAGCCCTGCCATTGTTACCACCCACCACTATCACTATCAACTATCACTAAACCTCAACATGGCAATCATTGGTTTTGACAAAATCTGTGAATATGAAGACGTTACAATAACAAGAGTACAGGATATAGTGAGCAGCTGTTTGTAACATCTACCTGTAAGCTGAAGCCAGACTGGGCAGATTTCAGATCATTTGTTTGTTAGTGGATATGTCTGAAAGGACACTAATAAAATGCCATGGAGGCTGTTTAATCCAGAAGACATCCCCTGCAGACCCCTGCTGGTGGATGTTTAAGATGCTGTGTTGATCCTGATTAGGGCTGTGTCTTGGCAAATACATTGTATTGCAATATATAGTGATTCGGGTACCCATATTGCGATATATTGGGAACATAAGTGTTTGACAGTGAGTGATAGGGCTGGGACGATACACTATGTCATGATACAATACATATCACGATATTTTACCCGCAATACGATACGTATCACAATACATACACCTTGCAAGAATGACACGGTATCAAGATTTAAAATGATTTATTTCAAGGTATTTGTGCTGAACAATAACACTATTGTAATAAACAAACAAGTAACTCCATCATACTTGCGTATTTTTCTCTAAATAAGTACTGTAACATGTTTAAGATAATACTGTTTTAAAAAAAGTTGTGTATCGTTTTGTATCGATACACCAGTACACGATACGATAGCTGTATCAAACTTAAATATATCGCGATGCATCGGTGAATCGTCCCAGCCCTAGTGAGTGACACTAATTGTGCATGTCAATACTATTATTGTCCTACATTATATGTCCCTAAACATATATGTTATGGTTCAGATAACAGCAGTATCAAAATTAGTATGCATAGTCATGGAGTCTATTTTTTGTTCTATACAATTATAGAATCACGAAGGAAAACATTTGTTGTGAATGGAAGTCTGTGTAGGTTTAAATTTAAACCATAATGATAATCACATAGACTTCATTTATGTTCTTTACCCAATATATCGGTTCTCAGAAATAATACTGCCATATGTATCGTTTGAAAAGCATATTCCAATATACCGGAAATACTGTGCAGTCCTAATCCTGGTGCCGCTGCAGGTGAAGCACGCCAACACCTGTCTGCAGGGTGAGCTGGACGACATTGACCGGGCACAAGCCCAGATGAACCTCATGCTGAAACAAACCCAGGACATGCAACAAGTCCTTCGCCAGGCTGGAGGTACACTTAACATGGGACCTTGAATAACCTTTCCCATCATTAGGTAGATCTGGGTTTTGTGTGTGTTTCCTTTCAGTTTTTACTCACAATGCCTCCAATCTGCACCAGTGCAGGTAAAATATTCCTAGTGCAGCTAACGTTTATTGTCAGGTTGAACCCAGTACAGGTAGCATTTTCCATCACAAGTGCATGGTAGAAGTTTTATTGGTCTAAATTTCTCATATTAAATATGTTAATTATAACATTCCCTCTGGATTATGGTAGCCTTATTCCTGTGGATACACAGAATACATACAGAAAATGAAAAGAAATTTTAACACTAAGTCATAGCTATTCCTAGTGGTATACCTAGTCTACCCCTGAGTTATCTCCCTTGATCCTGACGTCACTGTATTGTTCTCCTAGAACCCTTCGTAATTTTTCTGTATGGTCCACATGCATGACGTGCAGAGAATCGTGTGAAATTTCATTTCAAATCAAGACTTCAATTCTTCATATATAGGTCAGTTACAAATCGCATTCCATTTAATATTCAATCGCATAGCTGTTTTACATTTATATTAGATATATATTTTCAACGTATTTAGGCTTTGAAGTTTTCCCGCCCTTTTTTGATTGACAAGTATGGCCCAGAGCAAATGTCTCCAATGTCAGAAATTCATGGCGGATGTTGATCCCCACTCTCTGTGTGCTTCCTGGTAGACTAGGTATACCACTAGGAATAAATATGACTTAGTGTTAAAATTTCATTTGATTTTCTGTATGTATTCTGTGTATCCACAGGAATAAGGCTACCATAATCCAGAGGTAAGTTTACTAACAATACATGTAATTGTTCCTTTTTCCTGTCATGTGTATCAGGTGAATCAGTTACCGGAAGTGAAAATGTAAACAAGCCTGCTTTCATCCTCATAAATCAGTTACTAATCTACACACTGTGTACACAATCTTGTGACATTTTGTGAAAGGTCACTGTGTATTACATAACTTGTAACCGTGGACATGCTGATTTTGCCAACTGCGTTCAAGTGGTAACAAAGTTTATTAATGAAAATGGCAGTGTAAGAAGCAGCCATCTGCCTATGTGAGTTATAATTTGACGTCACATCAGCAATATTTCAGCCATATCGTGACCTATCCATCAATAGATTCCTCCAGACATACAATGTTGTCCTGGAGAAAGTGAAGCTGGCCATGAATATCTCTCTTGGTCTGCTGGTAAGGAATCGTCTTCTGTCAGAGACAGCCATACGATTGTTGGTAAAATGGTGTAGCCAATATTTTGATGGTGCAACCTAAGCAATAGATTGCACCTGGTCCAGGTGGTGATAAAAATGAACAAGAACTTGAGAGTGTTTGCTAACCTTGCTGTCCAAACTATATTTGATTTGATGTGTAAGCATAATTAAGTGTGTTTGCTGATGTTGCTGTGCCAACTGAAATCAGTTGGACAGTGTTTGCAGCATGTTTTACAGTGTCACCCTCAATGTACTTAGTTACAGATGTGAAGGACAGTCTGGTGTACGGAGCCAACCAGGTGCTGAAGAGAGTGAACCTCCTCAAGGACATCCAGGTGGTGTCAAACAAGGTGATGTTGATGTTTGAAACACATCTATTGAAGTGTATTGACACCTGAATGCCTGAAAGGACCCATGAAACCTAACATTAATACCGGAATTGACGTTTAGCATTGAGGAAGAAGAATTTGGTAAAATTCAAAATCAACATATATCCTATTACCTTCAAAACCCACACCAAAAACAAATGTCATGTTCAAGAAGATGAACAATGATAGCAGCATGATAGCTATTAAAACCAAATGGAATTTTCAAAATTTGAACAAAGATTTCATTTTGTCAAGAAGATTCAGCGGGAACAAAAACATAATCTACACACAAGTCTGTGTTATAAAGACCCGTGAAGGTCCGGGGTAGAATATGGCTTCAGCAACCCATTCTTGTCATAAAAGGCGACTAACAGGATCGGGTGGTCAGGCTCACTGACTTGGTTGACACATGTCATCAGTTCCCAATTGCGCAGATCGGTGCTCATGCTGTTGATCACTGGATTGTCTGGTCCAGACCCGATAATTTACAGACCGCCGCCATATAGCTGTAATATCGCTGAGTGCGACCTAAAACTAAACTTTGTTATAAAAAAACAACATGCAAACCTAACTTTAATATAAGGCTTAATTAGACATAACATAAGAGTCTGCTGATGGAATTTTAATGAAATAAAGGAGGAATTTTCTGGATGTCAACTTCTGTATTATGAGGGGCAGACCTTATTAGAAATGGTGTATTATCATGTAAAATGTGATCAATGATTCTGTGGATCCAGGATCTGGTTACATTAAACTTTACAGAACTGTGTACGTAATTTACATGGTTAGTTATTCAACAAGAAATTAATTGTGTGAAATAACTGATTATTGTTTTCTTGTTACAGAACAGTATAAAAGGAGAGGATACCAAGAAATCATGATGCTGTCACAGCCTACAGAATCTGCCGTCTCTATAACTACGTGGAAATGTGTCAAACTGTCACCAAGAAACACAGACATCTTCCCCGTGGCAGCTAGTTTGCATGCACTGAACACTACAACTCACAGAGATAATAATTGTACAGATATAGCTAGGATTTTCAGGAATAAAGTGCCGGTGGTTTGCAGGAAATAGATGTTGATGTTATTTTGTCTGTCAGTGAAAATTAGAACTATTTCTGTTAACATTGGTCTTCAGGAACCCATGCTTGACTCGACTAATGGGATCGGGTAGTCAGACTCCCTGACTTGGTTGACACATGTCATCGTATCCCAATTTGTTGATCGATGCTCATGCTGTTGATGACTGGATTGTCTGTTTCAGATTTGATTATTTACAGACCACATTGATATAGCTGGAATACTGCGGAGTGTGGTGTTAAACAACAAACAAACAAAGTTAACATTGAGCCACATATTAGTCTCTGAGAATAGATCCATATACATCTATGAACTGGGTGCTGTTCCACTAACCGATCTTAGCCCTACGCCAATCGTAAACCCCTAAAATCTCAATCTTAACGTGTCGTTATGATCGGCATACCGTTCCACTAACCGATCTTATCCAAGTCAATCGTAAAGTTAAGATCCAAAGTCTAAGTTGCTCATGACCAACTTAGGATTGCTAAAATCAATCGTAGAGAAACTAACATGGCGGCTTTCATTATTCTATGTGAAGAAGAAGAGCGAGCAGTACACTGTGAGCGTGTTTTTCGAGACCACTCACAGATTCTAGATACATTATCAGATGATGTGATTTTGGCGAGGTACAGCATGCATCGTCACGCCTTGTTTATGCTGATCGACAAGGTTCAGCCACAAGGTTATGCCAAATACCCAGCGTTCACGCACACTTGCCCCTGAAACCAAAATGCTCTCTACCCTAAAACTGTTCTTTTTCGCTTTCGTCTCCACGTCTCCACTTGGTTCCAAAACTACCTCCATCATATTTTTTTATCTATCTCTCGCATGAAAGAGTCTTGATGTTAGCTACAATCAGATCGTAAGATTGGGATTGGCTACGATCGGACTAAGATCGGTTAATGGAACAAGCATAACTTTTAGCAAAGACGATTGTAAACTTGGCGTAACTTGCTAAGATTGATCTTAGATAAGTTCGGTTAGGGGAACGGCACCCTGGGCAGTTGCCTCCTGTGTTCACCAGGAGCCATACAGGAAATAGTCGGTCTGTTTCAGATGTCAAGTGATATATTAACAAATTAAAACATGATTACCTCAGTCTCAGTTTTGTTATTCTAATCCATGCCAAGTATTTAAAAAGTATTTATTCGAAAATTGTGATGATTTTGTAAGGCCTCTAAAGAACTCGATTCCTTTGGCTAATTTGCTGAGAAAATGTTCTCAAGTCTAACACATTTGGCAATAATTTGTTTTGAAAACAGTGTGTAAACCGGCAGTAAATGTATTTTGTCTCTAAATCAAGCAGAAATATGACAACAGTTGGTTTTGTATAACAATATTTCTAGCAAGATATTTGATTTCATTTGTCAGTTACAATGTGACGTAAATGCAATACTTGCAGTGATCAGAATAAGAGCAGAATTTAAAGTTTTATCCACTATGTATCGAATTCAGCAACATTATTTGTATGCACACTGATGTTCAGCACTGATTGTCACGAAGGTTGTGTTCAATGGGTGATTGTGTACAACAGTTTGGTTCTATGTCTCTTGGGCTTGGGTCCTACCTCACACCGAAGTGCATGTAGTGACTGAGTGAGTTTAGTTTTATGTCGCACTTAGCAATATTCCAGCTATGTGACAGAGGTCTGTAAATAATTGAGTCTGGACCAGACAATCCAGTGATCAACAGCATGAGCATCGATCTACGTAATTGGGAGACGATGACGTGTCAACCAAGTCAGCGAGTCTGACCACCTGATCCTGTTAGTTGCCTATTCTGACAAGCATGGGTTACTGAAGTTTAATTCTAACCCAGATCTTCACGGGTGAAGTACATGGAGCACATCTGCTGTCTCTGTGGACAGGTGACTCTGTTCACCCAGCAGTGAATGGGTACCCGGTAGGATGAGGGAGTATTGTGAGTGTTAACCTTCTAGTGCCTCACAAGACATGGAACTATGGTTGTATACTCCTAAGGGAGCTGAGACCCAACAAATCAAGTGGGCTTGGAACATACACAAGAATGCTGTCTACTACTATCTATGAAGCATTATCATGTTAACTGTTGTTAACAAAGATGAGTTGTATGAGTGAAACATGTTTATTTACAATCACCATTCATACTCGCTAACACTCGCTAACAATACAAGCACTTCAGGACAAACACATTAAGAAACAGATATTGGCCACAAAACAACCTCTCATCTTGTGTGAACGAGACTTGCATTACCAACTTTAAGAAGAAACAGCCATAGTCTCTGTTCAGAATAATAATATGGGCTTCTCGTGATATAAGATGACTATAAACTCTGGCAGTCAAAACACTGCTTTTCAGAATAATTTCTCCCAATGTTCATTGGTTTTACAGCCATAGTCTCTGTTCAGAATAATAATATGGGCTTCTCGTGATATAACATGACTATAAAATCTGGCAGTCAAAACACTGCTTTTCAGAATAATTTCTCCCAATGTTCATTGGTTTTACAAAAGTGGAATTCATTAACCTATTGAAAAAGGTCTTGCTCGTTGACAAGATGTGACATTTTTGGAAGTATATCCTTTGTTCACATTTCAGAAAATTGTTGACAATTTCAGTACATTTCACAATGTTTAATACTGAAGTTTGGGTCATAAATATTCAGTTAATCTCTGTAGACAGAACACAGTTTGCATTAAAGTCATGATTTCCTTTAAAACTACTATGTACATCTATGGAAACTTGCTCACTTTAAACCCAGAAGAAAACTTCTTATCAAGCAGAAAAGTGTCTTCACACCTTGGAGATTAAGCTTTTTCTTAACACATTGCCAATAAAACTGATGTCCAGTTCTCAACATTTGTTTAGACCACACCTCTGAGTGAGTGTGTTTAGTTTTACGCTGCTTTTAGCAATATTTCAGCAGTATTGCTGCAGGGGACACCAGAAATTGGCTTCACATATTGTACCGATGGGAGGAATCGAACCTGGGTCTTCAGCGTGACAAATGCTTTAACCATTTGTCTACCCCACCACCCACAACACCCCTGATGGTAGTAGTGCACTTGTTAGGATAATAGGAAGAAATGCTATCAGACTTTCTGTAGAAGCAGCCGGCAGTTTGTCATGTACTGATACAGTAAACTACAGCAGTGGGTTGCACTCACTTGCTGTATTGTGTTTAACAAACTACAGTCGTCATGAACTAAAATTAGACATCAATTAGAGTTGGTTATACAGTGGAAGCTGTCTAAAAAGGCAGCTGTCTAATCCGGCAAGTCGACAACACCGGTATAAAATCTCAGTCCCATCCGTGGCTAGTACATTTATTAGCATTTAAAAGCTCTGCAATCCGGGCAGCTGTCAATTCCAGATCTCGGCACGAAAAGAGCCGCCCGAATATGTGTTTATACAGTAATCAGCGCTGTCTAATCTGGCGCATGGTGAGGATTCAGCCGGATGTGTATTGTCACCAATTAATCCTGCGAAATAATCCTTGAAATAACAAGGGATTATGAGCGTCCAGCAGCCATTTTTTTCAAATGTGTTGATTTATCATGTTTACGTTATTGTCAATAAAAGTGAATATGAATTGAGAGAACCACATGATACAATAATGTACATGAGCGACAAAACTGGTTCCAATTCTAGTCGTTAGGTAACAGTGTCAGCTCTACGGCATGATGTCTAAACCAGATTGTTTCTTCAGTCCTGACGAGTGCCGGTTTAGACAGCTTCCACTGTAAGTGTAGTTTACTGTACATGCCACCATGTCCTACTTGCTGCTCTAAAATAATAACATTATTTCAGTATGTTTGGTGTAACATTGACCTGAACAGTATATCCGTTTAATGTAACCTGTTATGGTAAGCTCAAACCTATACTGGTCTTGGATGAATCAAGCATTAGGGAAATACTTGGTCTGGTACTGCCAACACATTTTACATAATGGTAAATCTGGGATCACCAGCTCCTAGCATAACTTGGGGACTCAACTCAACAGAGCAATTGGAGCAGTGAGGGTAGCCTAGTGGTTAAATCGTTTGCTTGTCACGCTGAAGACCCGGGTTCGATTCCCCACATAGGTACAATGTGTGAAGCCCCTTTCTGGTGTCCCCTGCTGTGATGTTGCTGGAATATTGCTTAAAGGGCGTAAACCATACTCACTCACTAACTCCCACAGAGCAATTGCATAGCCCAAGACTTGGTCGCCATTATTTGAAGAGTTGAGTTATCATTACCATGTCATTGCCATAGGACCTTCCTCTGTAATAAAGGATACATAATTGTCCGTTACTGGCTATTCTTACCAGACAGAACTGTCTGGCTCTGACTACAGAATGTTTGCCAGAACTGAAACCTGGGGATTTGTTTATGAAAGCATCAAAGTATCTTGTCCTCAAGGTATTTTGATGGTGGTCAATTCCTGTAATTTTCAAAAATATATATAAATACTCTTAAGACCCTCAACGTGTATAAGGCTACATCAAAACAACTTGCACAAAATTCACTAATTACGCACATGTCCCAGACATTAAATGGTACTTTCATTACAGAAATTTCAAAGCAAACAAAACATCAACAATCTACATAAATTGTCCTGCATGGAAAAGAAGAACATTTATTGTTTTAGAATAAAAAATATTTTGCTTCATGTTTCCAAAACAGTCAACACTTAAATAAGAAAAGCGCTAATTATTTCAACATATGACATATGTCTGTCATTGCTTTTGTGTTCGAAAATATTTATCAGAGTCTGCCTAATGCATTTGGAATTAGACTTAGTACTCAAACTTACAGGACTAAAAATGATGTGCACTCTTCACCCCATCAAACACACAATAATTCACAGGATAATAAATATTTATGATTTGCACTGCTAAACATCTTGATATATTTCAATAAGATTAATACTCTAATTTTAAGCCACTCCAAAATGGGAGCCGAGTATCAAGTTGAAGCTTGATCAACATTATCAGGTTCTGCAGAATCTCGGATGAAAATGCATTTCCAATAGACAAAGATGCAAGGCATGAAATTCCGGTGTATCAGATACCTAAACAACATGTACTGTTATTTCATTTGCAGATAAATATAACTGACAGAAAACCAAACGAAGTGAGAGAATGATGAAGTCCATCCACCTGCCACGATGATCAAGATGTGTTAGAATTTAACTCTACTTTCCTCCAATGGTCGATTTCTAAGATCTCATAATCACATTTGCAGAAATATTTATCAAGACTTTTTGGCAATGGCCGCTGCTGCAAGTCCAACAAGTCCACCGATAGCTATCGCTGCTCCTCCGACTATTGCCATTCCCATGATGCCTTCTGAAAGTGGAAAAAGGGCAATAAAACTATTAATATGATCAACAAAGTCAGACCTTCCTCCGCGTTACCTATCTTGATCTTGCCGGAATGTTCCTAAAAGTGGCATAAAACCTAACTTGCCTACTCACTCTTGATCTTACTTCGATGCTTATGCTGTTGACCACTGGATTGCCTGGTCCAGACTGGATTATTTACAGACTGCCGCCATATAGCTGGAATATTGCTGAGTGTGGAGTCGCCTCTTACGACAAGCATGGGTTACTGAAGGTACAGTCTAACCCGAACCTTCACAGGTATCTACTCACTGAAATGCCACCAGTAGATACTGAGGTCATTGAGCCTTGTTTGTTGTTGGTTGTCTAAAGGAGGTTCACAGCCTTACAATCCCTTCATACGAACATGCATTTATAAACAAATTTACTAATAAAAGTGTAAATGTACGAAGAAATATATAATGAATAGTTTAAGCTTTCATATTGCTTAAGTTGGGACTAACAGTGACACTGAAACTAACTCAACAAGATTGTGAGACATATCACTTAAAATATAGTGAACGTTTATGTCAACGACATGAACAGCAATCTATGCATTTGGGATATGATGTCAAACTTAAATCAAGTCAGCCACCCGATCCCATTAGTCGCATCAGTTGCTGAAGGTCAGTTCTAACCCGGAACTTCACGGATGGTGGTGGTGGTGGTGGAATTGGGTTTAACGTCGTGCCCGAGAATATTTCGCTCATATGACGACGTGCATGCATGTGTATGTGTATGTGCGGCTGCTTGTACTAGCCCAGACTGAAGATGGTTTTATAGTGCTAGCCCACTGAGATACCAGGACGCAGTGAAGCATGAATACCCCACTCAGACACATTATACTGACTCCGAGCCGACCAGTCCTTGATGTACCCATTAATGCCGAGAGCCAGGCAGGGACCAACAAGAACCATATTTTAACGTCTTTTGGTATGACGCAGTCAGGGATCGAACCCGCGACCATCCGCACTCCGGGCGGATGAACTTCACGGGTACTTTTAGCAAGAGTTTAGTGACATCATGATGGGGACACCAGAAATAGGCTTCACACACTGTACCCATGTTGGGACTCAACCCTGGGTCTTTGACATGATGGGAAAACACTTGAACCACTAACCTACCTAACTGTTGACTGTAAGACATGTTAGTGAGACAGTATAAACAGAAGAAACCTTGTATCTATGTCCCTAATGAACAGCCCCAACAGATAACACTCACCTTTCTTCATTTTTTCCTTAATGTATTTCTCCAGCTCTGCTGCCTGTCTGTTCTTGGGTTCTATCTTGGCAATGGCTGCAGTGTACTTCAGGGCCTGTTGATATTCCTGTCCACATAACAACACACAACAATCAGCTCATATATACATATGTATAAACTAATGAGTCTAAGAGACTACAAACTAAGGATAGGATAGAATAGAATAATACATTAATGCCTTTTTAGGAATTTGTGTTACATCAGCAGAGCTACTGACACATTAGAGAGACACCAAACATATTTACATAAATTCTTTGATTTAGGTATCTTCACATTTGTTTAAGAGAGATATGGTACTTGGAATAAAGGATGTACGGGCTTTCTTAGATTTCACAATTGAACTTTGTAGCGGCGGCCTGAAGGGAGGAGGTTGTATTCCGAATTTAAGTAGTGATTACGGTCAGATATGATTTTGACAGCTTGATTCACGATTTCTTATATTGATGATAAACATTCAAATCTGACTCCAGTGATTTTACTTGCAGTGTTAACAATTTTGTCTATTTTAGATTTGAGATACACTCCGAACCAAACCTGTGTTCCGAACATTAAAACATTTGACATCCATATATTCTCTCCTACCATAAATCCTCTCTTTCAAAACTCCAACCCTTTAACACTGGCATACAATGGCTAAAGCATTGTTACCCACCTGACACAGCTCATAGTAAATATTCAGAAGAAATTAAGAATTATCCTTAAACTAAACATATCATTTGATAATACTCTAATAAAACAATAGTCTCGAAACACTGCAATAAAAGATTGGACGATTTAAGTGAGTGAATGAGTTTAGTTTTATACCGCTTTTAGCAATATTCCAGCAATATCATGGCAGGGAACCCCAGAAATGGGCTTCACGCATTGTACCCATGTGGGAAATCGAACCCGGGTCTTCGGCGTGACTAGCGAAGACTTTAACCACTAGGATACCCCACCGCCCCTTAAAGATTTAAGACATATCTAGAATCTGGAAACTGACATGACTTCTTCAATGCAATGTTTCAGTACAGATACAAGTTCTGTTATGATGCTTGTGTTCTGTGTTCACCTTGACGCGGGTGTAGCCGACTGCCATGTAGAACAGGTAGTCCCTCTTGGCTGTTTCATCCGATGTACGGGAGAAGAGGTCTGAAAAAGGGTCGACATTTTACAACAAATGCATGACTTCCGGTGTGAAAAACGGAAATATCCGAAGATTTCCAAATATTACAAAGTTTTCTGAATGCATGTCAAATCATCGGCTTTCGATCAGCGTATCGCATTATGTATTGTTTTCATGTCTGACCGGTAAACCGGTTATATTGTGCAGTCCTATCAATCAACCAAGGCTATTACATACATCCTACATAATAACCCATCAAATATCCCAATCAGTTATAATCCCTGTGTGTGTATACTACAGGCTTCATTATCCCTTTATTTATACTGCAGGCTTCACATGTTAACGCTTATATCTACTTCAGGCTATATGTTGTTATTGTGAACTGGCTACCCTAAGCTATTGCAGTCCTAATCCCCATTGTACTGTATAAACATCTCCTCACACTTGTATATATCATCCGATATGCCTCTCGATCATCATTGTTACTATCACTTGCTTGATAATGGTGAAAAGTTGCTCTCACTGTAATAAATTAGTTATTTATCTATACATATAACTTGTTATCCTTCCTTGAAATGTTACAGATAATGAGGTGTTCTGTAAATACATTCACAGAAGTGAAGTCTTCTTGTGAGACTGAGAGGTACAAGGGTTTTATGCTAGGCCTAAGTGTGTGCCCAGTTCGCACAAATGTAACCAACGAAAACAGAAAAGGACTACAATGCATCTCAAGGGACACACTACATAATTCATTCAATGAATCAAGAGAAGTTATGGGCGTCTGTCATTTCATCCATCACTCAAGACCACTGTCATTAGGATCATTGACTCATTCCAGGCACTAAAGCAATTACTGAAATGTATAGGGCTCTACTTTAAGTACTTACTGTAGACATGGTAGAGGACAATTACTATAGAGGACCCTCATACTGCATGCAAGGGCCCTTACATTTATCTTGTTGGGTCCCTGGACCCCTATCTTTGTACTCGAAGTCAAACCATTATTACTGCATTTTTCAGAAAACAACTATGTACATTACATAAAAAAAAAACTTTACATGTTTACTGACTGACTGACTGACTGAGTTTGGTTTTTCGCTGCTTTTGGCAATATTCCAGCAATATCACGGCGGGGGACACCAGAAATGGGCTTCACACATTGTACCCATGTGGGGATTTGAACCCGGGTCCTCGGAGTGACGAGCCAACGCTTTAACCATTAGGCTACCCCAACGCCCCTTTACATGATTAAATGGCTGGTTAAGTGAAATAGTGTTGCAGCACTTATACAGTCTCCACATACAGAACCTTGTTGAAGCTCACCTTCCAAGAGGGCAACACCTCTCTTCATGTCCTGTTGGTATCGACTCCTCACAAGGCACCAGGCATAGTCAAACTGGGCCTTCTCACTGACTGGGCCCTTCCTTGCTTGGTCATGGTATTGAAGTTCAAATTTCTGTAAACAAATTATAGAAACAATCATGGCACAACATGTATATGTGCAACAGCCAAGGCAATTGTGCCGCTGATTTTAGGGCTGGTTGGCTGTCGATACAGATCATTGAGATCAATCGTTAACTAAATATTGATCCTATCAATTTATCCTATCAAGGATAATTCCATCTGAGGTCAAGGTCATTTGTACAACCCGTGTAGTGTGTCACGTAACAGATTTGGTGGGGTGTACAGTTTGTACACCCTGGCAAATCCACCTACATAGTTTCATAAACTAAAAGAATTATAAAAGTCATGGTCAGCGGTTTTCAGAACAGATCTAATAACAAACAAAGGCAGAGCCCACCACCTACTGTCACATTCTAGCAATTATTATGAGTCAGGATAAGGAATATTATTTAGTTTTTAGAATAAAAGGCAATATAATGATATACTTATCCTGACTCATACGCTAAGCTACCCACATATGCTAAATAAATAGGTATGGATTCTCAGAGTCCGTAAGAGGGTCCTCTAAATTATTTACAATGAGTGAGTGAGTTTAGTGATACGCCGCACTCAGGAATATTCCAGCTATATGGTGGCGGTCTGTAATTAATCGAGTCTGGACCAGACAATCCAGTGATCAACAGCATGAGCATCGGTCTGCACAATTGGGAAGTAGATTCATTACAAAGGATCCAAACCAGGTAAGGTTTGAGGGAGAATGGAATTTTTGGTACCAGTTAGACATTTTCGTTAGGTTATGAATCTCTGTCAGAATAGATCTTGTAGCATTAGATTATAGATAAATAATCAGTTGATAAATGCGTATTTTCGAAAGGCAGATAAACAGCAGTGCAGCCCCAGAAGGTTATAAAATAGGACCGTAAATAATGTTGTTACTCTAACGAAACTGGTTTCATTATTTCACCTTAGTCATGGTTTCGTCATAAGCCAAATATTGATGACGTCTAACTGAAACTGATCTAGACCTGTAGACCAGTTGACAGGACAGCAGTTTCAGTTCTGGCTGACAATTTAAACTAAACAGACCTAACGTTGGTGGTCATTAACCAGTTAAACTCTAAGTTATAAATTCAAATAAATCTGGTCACAGTTTGATGTCATATATCCCCAAAATTTAGACTGAGATTGAGAGTGAGAGATCGTGACAAATGACAGGGTCAGCTGTAAAACAGCCTGTTACATTTGACTGCACAGAACAAGCACTAAATTATCATGCGTTACATTCATTCATAACATATATCGATAGTGTTATAGCGAAGATATTAACCTTTAAATCCGCTGTATCCACAGTTTCCTCTACGACGAAGTCCATTTTGATTCGCATATAGTATTTTCTGCACGTAGACAAAAAGTCTTGAAATGATATTGTTACTACTTCCTTAATAGACTACAATTCATATATTAGATATTATAGATTTTATTTATAGAAGTTGTCATAATTATTATTAGAGCTATGTGTTAACATATGATTGATAAAATATTTCAATGGTAAAATATTAATTATATTTTTATAAAATGAGTTGTTTTACTAATATGGTCTTCTATTTCTTGATTCCAAGACAGGAGAGGTAAGCTTCCCGGAAGTAGATGAAGGGGATTTCCCTGATGATCATCCGGTAGGGTCTCACGGAGGAGACTCCTGGAGTGATATGTGACAACAGCGTGGGTGCGTCCTTAGAACAAGATGCCAGGTACACTTTACCGGGGACTTTTTATCTATTCGTACATGCCAACATTTGGTTTGAATGATTCCACCGCCATTCGGCTGTTGCAGTGTTGTAATCGTTCCCTCATTTATCCTCATGATCGGACACGTCCAGTCCACGATTCATCAGCTGATCATGATAAACTTGTTACATTTATATTGCCGTTGGAACATCTACATAGTAAACATACAATGGAAATAACTGATAACTGCAATTAACTACATGTAACTGTTGCAATCGTTACTCCTTTGGCAATTATAGGATCTGTTCGCCCCAGGGTTGGCGGTAAATGTTGGATTAGGGGCGGACGTATTCTAATATGTAGGGCTTCAGGTTGGGGTTAGGAGCTATTTTATTTTAACTTGCACTGCCAAGCCTGAAGAAGATCTAAACATTGTTTGGCTAAAAGGCTTGTCATCTGAACGAGTTATGTAGTCAAAACTATTTTTCCGTTGTTGGTTTTAAAATATAATCTTGATTTGGACATGATATATCTGATGTCAAAGTTTAAAATATTTGGTGATATTGTTCATAACCCTAGCTGTGGTCGATTGTAGTTGTATGGGTTGAAGCTCTCATTTGTTTATTGTTTGTTATCAGCTGTTTTTAATATAACTATCATGAATACTGTCAAAAAACAGGAGCTGGATGAGTGACCTGTACAGAACTCTGGCACACACGACAAATGTGCAGAGGCATTAACTCTGAGTAACATATTTTCCCTAATTTTTTTTATTTGCTTTCAAAGATGATCCATGAACACGAAAAACAAATTCTGTTCCAGGCAAGACAAAGATGCCTTCATCACGGGAGGCTAAGGTGTGTGTGTCATGTTTGCGGACATCCAGCCAGTCGTATGCCTGCGCCCGGTGCTATCTCGTCACATACTGCTCTCAGCGCTGCTGTGATCAACACTGGTCCAAACACAAAGATGACTGCAAGTTTGTCACCTGGCACCGCAGACATGTCGGGTGGAACTTCTGTCATTCCTGTTTTGCGCACGCCTGTCCACATGCCTCGTACAAGCTGAAGAGGTGTGGGGGATGTTTGAGAGTGAGTTTTGGTGATATTAGGCTTCCTTCATGATTAGAGTGTATCGTAATATTCGTATACTGTTATCATATACAGCCTGGAGTGTGAGTTAGTGAGTTGGGTTTTATGCTGCTTTTACTAGCAATATTCCAACAATATCTCGATGGGGGACACCAGAAATTGGCTTCACATATTGTAGTAATTTGTACCCATGTGGGGAATTGAACCCGGGCTTTGGTTTGACAAATGAAGTTTTTAACCGCTGTGCTACCCCACCACCCCATATACACCCTGGAACCATTCACTACACACCGTATACAACCATTCATAAGAAGGTTTTCATACCAGTACCTAGGAGTAGAGGGGTTTGAAGGGGGGTTCTCTTATGCAGGAGTAGAAGTTACTAGAACATGTCACAGTGTTTTTCTAGCTGGTATCTGATACACTTTGTATAATGGTTATCTTTACTCACATATTTCATTTAAGTCATTTCTGCTTTGCCACCGTTTCCATAAATACATATCTAATAATATCAACCACAATTGATTATTTATACACTACAGTTGTATGACTGGCTTTAGTCTGTGATACAGACCCAGCAACAAATATACCCAGTGTAGCCCATTCAAGTCTAGAAAGTGTGGGAAACCTAGATTAACAGTTTCTTAAGAAAGTCTGAAGAAAGTCTCTGGGCTTCTTTTCATTGTATTTTATTTTTATTCTAAATTCCCCCACCAAGTAAAATATGTTTATTTCAGAGACTGACTGTTAGTCTAGACTGGTCTGAAACAGCAGTCAGTTGCCTACTGAAAATTAAATGACATACAGGGAACATTACACATTGACGTACACTAGTCTACAGGATTTCCATCACCTAACAATTATTTTGAAAAACATACATTAGTATCTTATTTAGGGTAGAAGTGGAATGATGGATATAATAATCAATGACTAAAGTCAAAGGAAAGCATTGTCGGAATTATTCAGAAGTTGAATGTGTGTTTTGTGACATATCTCATCTCTTCAGAAATGATAAGTGATTAAAACTTTCGTCTGCCACGCCAAAGACCGGGATTCGATTCCCCACAAATGTACAATGTGTGATGCCCATTTCTGGTACCCCCTGCTGTGATATTGCTGGAATATTGTTAAAAGAGGTGTAAAACTAAACTCACTCACTTTGAAATGATGACTATGTTGGATAGCAGTGAGTGAGTTTAGTGTTATGCCGCTTTTAGCAATATTCCTGCGATATCATGGCAGGGGGCACCAGAAATGGGCTTCACATATTGTACCCATGTGTGGAATCGAAACCAGGCCTTCGGCATGACGAGCGAAATCTTTAACCACTAGGGTACTCCACTTCCCTGTTGGATAGGAAACCACCCGCCGCGTGACCTTAAGGAGTGAAGAATTTTATCCAACTCTGTTTTCAACCAGGTGAGTTACTGTTCCCGAGAGTGTCAAGACAACGATTGGCGGTATCACGCACCCGTCTGTACAAACGACAAGAACCGAGAGAGACCGAAATACACAATCAGATTTGAGGACCTACCACTGGAGCTGCAAGAGCGGGACCTGAGAGACCGCGCCATCAACGCCAAGGCAGAGGAAGAGATGGAGAAATCCAATGCCAAGAAGAAGGGCAAGAAGAAGCAGAAGTCTGTGACAGAGGAGAACTCTGAAGTTGGGGAGTTGGAGACACAGCTGATGAGAGACAAGCAGTTCAAACAGCTGTTGCGGCAGAAGGGGGAGGAGGAGAAAAGGAGTCAGCTGCAACGGTTCCAGTGCCAGGTCAGTCCAGACGGATCCGTCGAGCCAGAAATATGGGAGAAGAAATGGAAGCAGAGTAAGATAATCCCCAGCCTGACAGCCAAGGGACAGACTTCCAGTCATGTAAGTTATGGTCAGTCTACTCTCTCATGTAAGTAATTGCCAGTCAGCTCATTAGTGACTGATAAGTTCAACTGCATCTCATATAAGTACAAGTCAAGTTCTATCATATGCATGCAGGTCAACTCCATCTCATGGAAGTACTTGTCAATTCCATCTCATATCAGTATGGGTGAATTCCATCTTATGTAAGTATAGGTTAAGTCCATCTCATGCAAGTACTTGTCAATTCCATCTCACATAAGTACATGTCAAGTCCATCTCATTAAGTACTGGTCAATTCTATCACATGTAAGTACAATTCAAGTCCTATGCATGCAGGTCAAATCCATCTCATGGAAGCACTTGTCAATTCCATCTATGTAACTATGGGTCAGTTCCATCTCATATATAAGTCTGGATCAATTCCATCTTATGTATTTACATATATATAATGTAAGTATAGGTTAAGTCCATCTCATGCAAGTACTTGTCAATTCCATCTCATGTAAGTACGGGTCGAGTCCATCATATAAGTATAGGTCAAGTCTGTCTCATAAAAGTACAGTGCAACCTGTCTAAACCGGCATCCCATGGGACCGAAATAATATGACGGTTTAGACAGGGTGCCGGATTAGACAGTGACGATCATTTTTGAACATGGCTGCCATTTACACTCGCCAATTTCCTTTTTCCTGATTATCTAGCGTGCCTAGAGGAGTGTATTGGATTAAGGGACCTTGATTGGACTGCTCATACCCATGCCGGTTTAGACAGTGTTAATTACAGTTCAAATTGCTTGTTGGGACCGGAAAGTCGCGCCGGAATACGGAATAGACAGGTGCCGGATTAGACAATGTTTTAATTATCATAATATTGCTGTAAATGGCAGGACCAAAATTTTATGCCGGTTTTGACAGTGTGCCGGATTAGACAGGTGCCGGTGTTGGCAGGTTTCACCGAATAGGTCAGTTCCATCTAATATACATGCAGCCATATCCATCTAATATAAGTACATGTAAATCTGTCTCAACAACAAACAAAACACAGGAACTACTTTTGCTGAAATATCTACAACAATTCCTGTATTCATAACAATGAACAATCTGACACTAGATGTTCACCTAAAGCCTACTTTATGACGCTACATAATCCATTCCTAAAGGATAAACTGATTATTCATACTTATAATTGATGCAGAGTGCTCTGTCCTAGGTCAAGGTCAATGTGAGGGAACTGCTGTAAGATTTGTAAATATTGTGTACTGACTCCTATTTAGGACCTGACAGCATACTTTACTTTCCTCATGAAAAGAAATGTTAGAAACTCACGAGAGATCAGTTGTGTAAGATTTACAGTTTTTTACAATCATTATTGTTACTTCAAAACGTATGCTTCGGAGGAGGGAGTTGTAACTGCCAGTTGTACCATGGCTTTGCGGCGCTCTCTTTGATGTTGCCCATGTTGTAACCTGCTAGTTACTACATGGTTTCGCCGTACTGATTCTCACTGGATAATGCTTGCTCCGCCCCCTTTCGTGTGCCGAAACTATGACGTCATCGTAAACAGGTTTCGCCAGAAGGAAGTTGAGATACATTGTAGAACATAAAAACAGGTACAATGTTGACAAATTTATTTAGGAAAAATGAACATCATTTTAAAACATTTGTATTAAACTACAAAAAGAGCAAAGAAATTAAAATTTAGATTGTTTTCAATCTTGAATTGAAATTTAAAGAAACAGTTCCGATACACAAGTTCGTCTGATTGTTTTCAATCTGGAATTAAAAGTTAAAGATTCAGTTTTGATACATAATAGATGGTGTGGACGTCACCGTCTCCGTGACTTGCAAAACCGCGTTTACAGTGGCAGAGGGCTCCGTTTTCATTCGTTTAGGTGCAAGAGGTGGATCCAGTTTGTTTTTGATGGTTGACAACATAGACTGTGACAGTTGCTTGTATTTTCTCACTGCCTCAGCGCCTCTGTGCCTGGTTATTCGCAATATTTCCTGCTCTTCTACTCCCTCTTCTTACAAACGTGTAGCACACGTGCGTTTCCCGGACTGGTTTGTGAAGTAGCCAGGAATACCAGCGTAAGTGCACATATTCTTCACTAAAGTGCTCAGTTTGTTGACACCAATCACCTGACTGGAAAATCAAATGTCATTTCCTTTAGCCGAAAGGGGTCTCCTGTAATACGGCCCACTGTTGTCAATCTTGGATAGATACAGTTCATATAGGCGTGGTAAGTCTGCAGTGGAGTGGTGACGCAATACTTTTGCCTCGACTGCCTGGTGGTCCAAACCTCCAGTGTAATTTTTGGCTGTAGTTCCATGAAATTCGATATATGGTCCCATCTGATCAGTCCCGACCAAAATTTGATTAGCTTCTAGTCTTCAATGTTCATCACAGGCTCGGAGTCCAAAAAGTTTACAGTTGTAGAAGAACACTGTGTTCAGGAGACTTTGGCTGGTTTTATCCCCAAGCAATTCTTTATCCCATAAAGTTTTCTCGGTTTCCTCGCTGATGGGTTCAGCTTGTTCAACAGTCGTGCTAATACCTTTTGCTGCTAATCTTCACATCTCGGCACTCAGAACTTGTTGGAAACACTGACACGCTAGATTTTTCGTATCCAAAAATTTAACGCTGATGTTTCCCATTTCCCGCATGCAACGTAGCAAACCGGCACCCAAGAGATAGAGGGTTTTGGGTGGATATTCTTAACCATCTACCTTTCGCGCTTCCAACACAAACCTGGACAGATAGTTGTTTACATTGGCAGATGTAAAGTCTTTCATCTCTGGCACAGAAATATCTTGTCGGGATCCTCGCCATTGGTCAAAAACATGCATCGCCAACTTCGTGTTATTTCGAGTGTTCTTACTTTCAGCATAAGCTATGCGTTGCAAAATATCATCTTCTGATACGATTTTCGCAAATCGTTCAGTTTGAGTGGGTGAATCAACAGGATTAGTAATGTCATCAGGCCTATTTTCTTCAGAAAACGGGTCGAATTGAAGATGAAATAATCCAAGATCCAGGATCTAGATTTTCGAAGCTCTCTTAGCTCTAAGATAGTCGTAAGTGTCATACATTAACATTAACTTGCGACTATCTTAGCGCTAAGAGAGCTTCGAAAATCTAGGCCCAGGTCAATTTGGTCGCTTCCACTCACTTCGTAAATGTTCAAAGACTGGAAAAAAGGTAGGTCCTCAAACTTTAAATTCAACTCCATCGCCTCACCAACTTGGGAAAGTGTATTATTTCAACAATTTCATCGTTCCACTCATTCACACTATCACTGCTGGGTATGAAAGTTGTTTCCACGTCCTCCATGGTTGAGAAATAATTTTTGAAAACTTGAACGACCTAAGATGGCGCGTTTGACGTGATATTCATGACGTCATATGGTACACTCATTTTCCTTTGTTTTAAACACACCGCCGAAATCTCATGGTACAAGTCTGTTGCCCCAACCACGACTCAAGGTTCGTCTACTTACAACACGATTTGTCTAGGCTTTTCATTGACAGGCGTAGTAGCAACTCGGGTTACACCCTCGTACCATACGCCTGTCAATCAAAAGCCGGGACAAACCATGTTGTAACTAGACGAACCTCTCGTGTGCCAATGTGGTAACTTTAACTTGCACTGAGAAAGCACCTCAGTACATTTTTGTCTACTTGTATCATATATCAGTAAAGAAACTAAAACAGACTTTAGAAAGAAATAGCCTACCTGATACTTTTGAATCAGCTGAGATAGGAAACATTGTTGTACCTCTGCTTACGAAGTAACGGGTATATAGCGTTCATTTTGTCCTTCCGTCTCGAAACTTTGTCCAGAGCATATCACCGAACTATACATGCTAGGTTCACCAAACTTAACACACAAGTTGATCATGACCAACAGATGTGCCTTTTGCTATTTTGTAGTTTATCAGAATATTTCTTTTGCTGTTTCTATTGAAACACGACATAGTGGAAAATGTGTTTGATATTTATCTTGTCCAAAGCATATCAACAAAACTATACATGCTAGGTTCACCAAACTTAAAAACCCAACAAAAACAAAAAAAATCAAAAATTATTAATGGAATCAGTAAATGGCAAAACTATTATCTAACATGTATATGAAGCTTGGTGGAGTCAAGGAGAAAGTCTTGTGAGTTGCTGATCCTTTCCACATTACATATCACATTTCGATATCAGTCATTCCCATGTCCCAAAGTGGGAAGCGGGGGTATGTGAGCTGTGCTCACTTCAAACATTGTTTTTGTATTTTCACTGGAGTATGTGTTGTGTTTCAGGCCATCGAACAGACTCGCTACCGAGTCCGTCTCTCCAACACCGCTCCAGTTCTCCACGAGGGTTTCCAGAGGAACCCGGACAACACAAACAGCTACGAGGAGGAGATTGAGGAGAAGCTGCCCGATGGTACCATCACTAGATGGAAGACTATCATCACCAATGGGGTCATCGAGAACGACGCTCAGCTTGAGGAGATCACTCGGCGGTTTGGTGTGGACTTTTCCCATCATCCCGGCGGAACTCTGGCAGATCCAGACTATGATAGTGACTAATGTCACTACAGGATTTGTACAGGGTTTGGACAAATGTGAGAAATAGTTTCCAAATCTTGCTAGTCAGTGCGGGCTAGCTATGCCTGAAAGTTACTAGCCACAACATTATTCACAAGCCCGAAATCTGAATATAGCAACTAGGCCAAAGGTTACAAAAATACATGAGAATAAGATATTGTCGACAAGACACAGGCTTCATCATTAAAGGGCAAGTGTACACGAAAATTAACCTTTTTGTCTTGCACTTTTTCATCATAAAAAGTGTTTATCAAGTAGTTTTATATCCAAACCTGTACATATATCAGAAGTAACTAATTCATTATTTGCGTTATATCAATTCATATTTTCAACATTTACCAAGAGTTCTATGTCCACAATAAACACCATGGCTTATGTCCCTTGGAAATGACGTCATTGGTGCCCAAACGATAAACGAATGACGTCGTCAGATCATATTAGACCCATTTCACGTGGTGCAGGTATAGGTGTGGTTCTTGTGTCTCGATGCGCAGTCTACTGTTTTAATCCACCTGTTGCTTGTCCGTCAGCTGACTATGTGGTCAGTTCTACACTGTTATGACGTTGCAGTTTGAAAAAACGTATACATTGTACTAAAAGTGTTACCACGTAACCAAATTTTATAACATATCCAACCTGAGTCGGTCGCCTTTCCAACAGTATCTTTTTTCATTACACCTAAAACGTATATGCACTACATCGTTCTACGTTTGTTACTAAAGTTCTTACATAAACCGTACGATATGTCCCTCCTCTTCCACCTTCACTTTGATATCGATAGTACATATCCAAATACATCACGCAGATAAATGCAATTTGCAGTTCTGAACAGTGTTTGAAATTCGTTTTTCTATGATATCATCCACTAATTGTATATAAAATTTACTGAAAAGTACATGCATCGTAAATCTCGCCAGTTTTGACACGTTACTAAATCACCATTCACTGCGTTTTGCGTAATTTATGGTATGTCTTAATTCAAATGTCAAATTTTACTGGGAGAATTGAATTTAAAAGAAAAAGACGTGATCATTGTGATCAGCGGTAGTTTTGTTGTTGCATGATCGAATCACCAATGCTCGTTCTGAAACATTATCGATGAACCGAGAATCGCAGAGAATGTTTTGGAAAATACATAAGCGTCAAAGTGAATTTTCAGCCATATTACATAGTGTTCATAAAATCACGTCACATGTATGTCGGTTATGTTTAGATCCATAAAATCAATTGTATAATTCAACACCATCTTCCTTACACGAATCCCTGAATTCCTCATACGGTTAAAAAAAACCCCTGACAAATGGACTCTGTCACCAATACGAAGTGTTTCAGTGAAATCTAACGAAATATATCGAGGATATGAGATGCGGCTGTGAAAGAAAACTTGTTTGAAATGTATACAAAGCCAATCTCAGATTTTACTCAGTGTATCCGTTAAGCCTACTTGTTGCATACAATTGCTCATTAGTTTTAGAACATGCATGGGAAAGGTATCGTAGCAGGCGATATTTAAATAAAAAAGGTGTATTCAATGATTTTCTAGATTCATCACAACATATTATAGTTTTTGAAAGCATGGCGCATACAACTGAAGCAAACTCCACGCTGCGCGATGGACGGTACTTCTCTTAATTTCCGACTATTTCCCTTGGTCACAATGAAAACAAAAGAACATAACAACTAGCAGACTGACAGAATTTTAGGACTACTTACATGTCACATTTATGCATATCGTTGCTTGAAACAACGAAAATTTCCTTCGAAAACTCAGGCCTACTCGTGTCAGTGAACACGCCATTTTGAAAAAGTCGCTTCCGATAGTGATGTCATCACGGACGTCAACATTGTTATACATATTTGGTATTTTCATTGAGTCGAGGTTATGAATGAAAACACACCGCGCTCAATCCGTCCTGCTGCTTACATTTTCTGTTCTTATGCTTCTTTAGGTATTTTCAGAAACACTTTTTCCCGTGATTAATATCAGTATTATTATCATTTGATTTGGGACTAGACAGGAGACCAGTTTAAAATCAAGTGGCACCAATTACGTCATAATCAAAGGGCGGTAACTGTGGCCTGTTTAGCTCGGCAAACAAATACCTCATATTGGCATAACATTTCAGCACTTATTTTGAGGGTTATACTTACATTGTAAGAAAAATGAGTGTATATTTTCAATCATTGGTATTAACTAATTAAAACAGTTCACTTTGATTCACATAAGAATAAATATGATTTATTCGTGTACACTTCCCCTTTAAGCTGCTAATATGATGAACATTTTGTATCAGGCCATAATCTTGCATTAATTTAAAAGTGTATTATGTCCTAACAAGTCGTAGAGAGTGATATATTTCCTAAATGAACCCATGAAAATTCACTAGCCATTTGGGCCATGACTGGGGTGATTTACTGGCCTGACTAGATTTTTACTAGCCATGGGCTAGCGGGCCAGTGGCTATTTCGAACAATTAGACAAATGTGTTGGTCATTTGTCAGAACACCAATACCAGCTGACATTTCAAGTAATTGTAAAATACAAGAGAGATATTGGGTTGTCGCTTGTTTTATTGATCTTGGTGCCAATCCTCAAAGCATTTGTAGTGTTACGAGCTATCGTAACTATATAGTTTATTGTTGGCTTACAGATATCATAGTGCTACAAACGCTTTAAGGATCGGTACCCTGTAGACAACAAACAAACTGAAATTAGCAGAATATTGGAACATTTCAGACATGGCAGTTGATTAAGTTTACCTTTAGTCATTGAATGAAACTGGTTACTACTGCTGTTTTGATGTTGTCCGTTCTGTCAGAATTACCAGAATATATATGAGAAGACAACTCTTATTCTGAGAACCTTGTATAGTCTGACCTTGCTGGCTGCAACTCTTGTAGAGCTTTGTGAAACCAGGCCCTGATTTCTCGAAACAAACTTAAGTCTGAGTTTTGACTTAAGTCAGAGTTTTTACTCATTTCCCAGAATGAACTGAAATCGATATTAAAGTCAAGCCTATTAGACAATTTGAGTTTGGTGAAAAGAATACATTGTACTTAAGTTGTTTTGGCTTTTTTATTTTCAAAATGCAGAGGAGCTAAAAATTCAGGTCTTTCAAATTGTCAAACTCAATTTGAAATTTGGGTAGAAACTTAAGTTTGTTTCGAGAAATCAGAGCCAGTACTCACCACAGATGAAGAGTGAGGGCTGTTTTGAGAGTCTTAGATTTTGTATTTGAAAATATTGTTATTTCTTTCAGTTCTATCTTCAGAGACAGTCTTTCCAAAATCATCAAATTTAGAGCTCAGCAATAGCTTACTGATTTAAACTGTGTATACATTTGTATATGCAGAGTACAGAGCAGGTTATAACCCTTAACTCAGAGTAGTTTGAATCAAATGGATGTAAATAATTATCCATATGTTTTTGAAAAATCTTATCGAAGTGATGTTCGAACTGTCCTGTGTTCGTTGAGTGCTGATCGGTTGTGCAGGTATTGGATGGTGATATAGATGCAGAATAATATTCTATTTTGTTTACTGGCATATGTGTACCGGTATACATTTCATATAAAGTGATTCTTGATTTTATGAAGCTTGAAGCTTTCCTTCAAACATGGTTTGTGTGGAAATAACTTTCAAAATGAGTCTGCAAGATGCATAGATTATAATCTAGAATTGAACGAATATTTTCCTATGAATACCACACTGGTTTTGAAACCTGCTGATGCTAGTTACAGCACTGACAGGAATTATGGGCCTGGTGCCACTTTACTGTTATAATGTTATGGTTTTTTTTAAAGACATTGGTTGTTTTAGCTGATTTTTTGTGTAGTAGGAAACTATTGATTAGATTATCATTTGATCTTGACAAGTGAGTGAGTGAGTATGGTTTTACGCTGCTTTTAGCAATATTCCAGCAATATCACAGCAGGGAACATGACAAATGAGTCTCAAAGGTTAATCTTGGTAAATTCAGATTTGGTTTTACTTTCATGTGATGCCTCTCTGTGTGAAGATCCACCCAACCCTTCACAAGTCATGTCTGCTAACTAAACAATCAGGGTGGAAGCATTGAAATTATGTTAGGATCTAGCATTGCTTTTTGAACTGCATATCTCATTTTGAATTTTGAGACAAACATGAATGGATTAATGCAGAATAATAATAGCTGCCACTATATCTGTATTTGTCTGTCTCTATCAATCATCCTCATTTTTTCCCCTTCTGGTAAGCTTTATCTGCTATGCTAAAGCTGTAAATGATGCAAGTCCACATTTTCTCAGGTTCTAAATTTACCATCCCATTGGGGTTCCTTTTCAATTTATTGGAACTATTTGTTTCTGCCAAACTTACATATATTCAGAGACTCATCATTAGTCTATATCTGTAGGGATGATTATGTCATTTAGATTTCTAAGTGATCCCCAGTTGTTTCTGAGGGCCACGCCATTGCATTGCCACCCAAAAGTCTTATAGTCAAAGGAATATTTCTGTTCTGTTTTGATGGTCTTTTGTTCTCATCAAAATGTTTACATCAAGGTGTTTGGAAATGAAAGTGAGTGTAAAACTGAAAGGCTCAAAGTTTGCTCAAAGTTGACCTGATATGAAGTTCTGTGGAGGATATCGTCATAATCAACTAGACAAAATCAAGGACATTGTTTCTAATGTTCTCTGGAAGCTTGTACAGTGATGTTCCTTAATTATGTCACAAAATGGCCGCCGGCCGGCGGTGAGTAATAGGTAGGGGTCAAGTTAAAATGCTTGGTGCACTCAATCTACAAAATGATGGATGATCAAATTTCACAGGGTACATTTTCAGGGGTCACAGGTAATGTAGGGGAGTAACTCTCGTCGTCTGCTTCATGTAAACAAGTTCACTGCACCCTTCCCCTATTTCCACTTCTACAAGGCAATCCTAGCACCAACACTATATAAGTCTATGTGAAAGTATCAGAGTTCACATGATGGTTAGAGCTATGGCAGCTTTATGCAACTGAGCCTTGATCGCATGTGGCCCAGTGGTCTCAAATGTGCAATTCTCTTTGCAGAGTTGCTTCCCTTAACTGTGCCAGGATCCTGTTATCATTCTAGCTCCATGGGGTTTATACTCCACAGGGAAATGACAATGAGAATTTTCTATGGACCTGGGATGTACTACACACTGTGATCATTCTGGCAGCCATGGATATTTGACACTGTGGAATTGTACTCATTATTGCCATCATTATTCAGAGGATAATTAAGGTTCTGTCAGACCCATCTCAGTCCTCCCTCTGGTCAGCTAGCAAGTTTCCATGGGCTGTTACTGTGGGGAAAGTTTGATTAGAACTGACATATACAAGGTGTTGTCAGAGTTTACTGATTTAGCACTTGGTTCTGGTCTGTGGTGAATTTTGATATGTTAATTGAAATATTTAGTCTTACGTTCATACATCACTATAAATTATGCTAAGAGCTTTCTTGGGGTAATCATTTCAATTTGCTTTGTATGACAGACAAATCAATGTTATGCACAAAGGAACAGTGTTTGAAATTAAGCATGAAAGTCAAAGGGTCAGTGTTTTGACTTTAATGTTAAAGGGTAAAGACAGAGGGGTCCAAAGATTGAAATACCAGCAGCACTGGCTCCAGACTCCCTTTAAACATTAAACAGGTGCGTAGGAAGCCAATTTCTTTCGTGTAAGCCTGATAGGCTGCAAAGCTTTTTATTTAGATAGTATTGAGGACTTGCCAAACATTTTTAGCAACAATCATTCGTAAGCCCAGGCTTTATTTTTACAATGGTAGCTACGCCCCTGTAAAAGTCCAGGGTTCTTGACTCTTATGTTGAAATGTAAAGACCGAGGGGTCTAAAGATTGAATTACTATAGCAGCAGTCCTCAAGAGTCCCAGAGTATCTTTAAACATGAAACTAAGGGACTCTTCATAATTTATGGCTAGGGGGGTGGGGATGTGTGTGTGTGTATTGATGTGAAAAGGGGTTCACCCATTTTGGTCTGGGGAGGTCATTAATTTTGTACACATGTACTAGGGAGAGGGTCATTGATTTTGGAGGGTGGTGGGTTGGGGAGGGGGTGCACTTACTTTGTACAGAAGTTTTAGGGATGGTCATTCACTTTGTACATGCTTCTCCTTAAACATCATCATCACACACCCCAAGCCCCCTAGACATAGGTGAGGTGAGGTGAAATTGGGTTTTACGTCGTGCCCGACAATATTTCGCTCATATGATGACGTGCATGCATGTGTATGTGTATGTGCGGCTGCTTGTACTAGCCCAGACTGAAGTATACTACAGTGAAGCATGAATACCCCACTCATACACATTATACTGACTCTAAGCCGACCAGTCCTTGTTGCACCCATTAATGCCGAGCACCAGGCAGGGACCAACAAGTACCATATTTTAGCGTCTTTTGGTATGACGCGGTCGGGGATCGAACCCATGACCTTCCGCTCTCCGGGCAGACGCTCTAACCATGACACCACGGAGGCGGTCCCCCTAGCCATAAGTTATGAATAGTCCCTAAAGCGGCAGCACCTAGGATCCCAGAATTCCCTTCAAACAGGAAGGTCAAGAGGCCTTGACTCTATTGGAAGATGAAGATTGTGGTGTCCATAGATTGAAATACCAGAGCAGCACCCCAGACTCCCTTTAATGTTGAACACAGTGTCATGCCAGAGAGAATGACTACAATCATGTTGTTTTTATATCGTATCGTTACATGTAATAACTGTCATATTGTACATACCTTCGTATTTCACAAGCTGTGTATATATTTCATATGTATGTCCACCATGTTGACCATGTTGATAGATCTATCGATATGCATCATCTATTATCAGTTTTCATATACCTGAAATTTGAAGATATGTTTAAGAGTGCCTATGGTCAAAAATGAATTAATTATCAGATTTTCATCCAAATATTGTCAGATTTCACAGGGCAATTTGTTTTAAGATTTTTATTCTTTTTAAATTGACACACCAGCTACAAGTCTACAGAATACATTTATTGCAGGAAGTGTGTCTAGTATGGCTCACAAACCTATGCTTTGGGTGAAAATCTTTTATTCAATTCATGATGGCTTAAAATACAGAATTGTGATGAATTTTACAAAGGTTTTGATGTTACCAATGGATTTGTTAACAGAAATATTTTACTATGTGAGTTTTATGTGTACTGGTTACATATTTTTAGAGCTGTTTGTTTCTTTGTGGAAGCAAGGTACATATTGGTTAATACTGTTCATAAGAGACTTTAATGAAATATTTTTCTTTGTACATTTGTGTATCTTTGTTTATTTGTGTATCATTGCTTTTTTTCTATGGGGGATGGGAACTTATTCATTGCATTTCATAAAGTAATGATAGCATAATGAATTAGAAACTGAGACAGCATAATGTACAAACATGAGATGTTGTCAGGTGTGTTTGTCCGCTGGGATTTGTAAATATGCCACATTGAAATAATTCACACGAAGGACACTTTCGTAAAAGCTGAGTCCATTAAGCAATGATGGGGGTTTGTGAAAGTATGGATATGGCTTGGGGTTCCTGAATTAAGTTCGAAATGTTTTGGTCTGTTTCTTTTCTGGATGAATTTTACAGTTTAACAAAGTAATTGATTGTCACTTTTGGTTTCGAAAACACTGTACTTGTGCTATATTAAACTGCTAAAAAATAACATCTTGATGTTAAGAATCATATTCAAAATGGTTAAATGAATTTATTATTGACAGAAATTCTTTGGGATGAGCTATCTTGTTAATTAAATGCAAAGCATATTTTAGGGACATATCATTCATGACATGACCATTGAACATCCTCAAGTATAAGATAAAATATTATGTCATCTTCTTTATTGTAAACACGTTTCTGGACTTCTTGTTTGCCCCTTTGTCAGGTGACTGATTCATAATATTTGTTCTTATACTTGAATACCAACTTCTATACGCCTCTCAAGTACCTGAACATCCTAGTGTTTGGAGACTGGATACATTCTCAGAGGTGACTGTTGTAAAACATTGTATGAAAAACTCAATCTTCAGCATTCCAAATTAGTTCACCCCAAGAGAGGCTTTTTAAAATATGTTCCTGTGACAGCCTTGGTAGTAAGATGTAATTCATTGAGCAAAGGGGATGTCATAAGAGTTTATGTAAGGTCTTGTGTTGTATTGTTGGGTCCAGTGTTCTGGATGGTGGAGAACTCACTGAATAAAGTGGAAGAATAATGTCTCAATCTTTTTGCATTTTTGTAACAGGAAGTGAATCCTGCATGAGATTAGTGCTCCCGGAGCCATGAAGATCCAAATTAGAATTGGTCTTCAGTAACACATGCTTGACATAAGAGGCGGCTAACGGGTTCAGGTGGTCAGGCTCACTGACTTGGTTGACGCTTGTCATCACATCCCAATTGTGTAGATCGATGCTCATGCTGTTGATCACTGGATTATCTGATCCAGACTCGATTATATACAGGCCACATACCACGGACCATATACATGTATGTCCAATATAATTTTATGGATTAAACTTCTTTTTTTAATTTAAAGAAATTAAAAAAGAAGTTTAATCCATAAAAATATCTTGGACATCAATGTACAACTTCTAAATGCCACTGAAAGACATCATATACATGTAGTTGGAATATTGCTGCAAGCGGCATTAAACAACAAACAAACAAACAAACAAACAAAAGGTGTTCCCCTACTCCAGTGAATCCTGCACTCACTTAAAAGCAACGGCCAGAGTGAGTCAGTTTCTCACAGGGATATCTGTTACCAACAGTCAAAATACACCTTTGATACCAAGAGTTAGTGAGTGAATGAAAGTTGTTTAACCCAGCCACAGCAGATACTAAGACTAAAGAAGGTTTCATCCACTGGTGCATGGGAGGTAACATCTGTGGATAAAGGGGAGGTAACTCTAAATGAGTAACAATTTGATTTTCGATGTAGCAAGGCTGTTGTTTTGTGTTGTTGTTTTTTATTAACAAGATATTATACTAATGTTGCAGGGGTGAGTCAATAATAATGACGAGCTGCGGGTGTGTTTGTGAGGTGACGTTTATTCCAACATCATATATAGGTATCAACTATTCAATTGATCAGTCATTCACCCTGTAATATAAGAAAGAATGCTATACATAAATCTAAACATGCAACAAGTACAGTTACACATAACTAGTTCATAATAGTTATTATTATTACCACTAATGTATAAAACACTTAGTCTACATAATGCTTTAACGTAACATGCAAATGATCAACTTAAATGATCATAGAGGTGATATTTAAATCACACATAGATAATTACATACATGATAAAAGATAATATGTACATACCCTGTGGGTGACACCGGGGTGTGTCTATATACCCACACTAGAATTCTGGGTTATTGCATTCCTAAAACTAATAATAAGTACAATATGTTACTAAGGCTACATTAATTATGTAGAGAGAAACTTCTTGTTCAACATTGCATTCAAACTACCAATCAACTCATGCTCTCACACATACATACATTGAGACATTTCATATTGATAAATTAAAAGGTACATTGGCTACTTGATATAAAATATTAATATTTACAACACTTTATATTATTTATAAAATATTTAATGGATAGGTTGAGATTCTATTTAGGTTAATATAAAGTAAATGTCTAACCTGAGCTGTGCTGAGTGGCTTGTTCTGTGCAGAGTTGTTAGCAGTGTGACTAAAAAGTGTGCAAATGCTATGGAGGAAAGCTATAGTTATATAATGCTAATCAAATAGGAAGCTGAGGGCTATTGTATTGAAAGCTAGACTGTTGAGGCCCTAAACAGACCAATTGTTTGGATAAGTAACCCAAGCTTATAAACTAATGAACACAAAAGCAACTTGAAATGATAAATATAAAACTTTATTGGTATAACTATAAACACAATCTCCTGTTACATATTTCCTCCCCCAGAGAAATGTTGTCCTCAACATTTTCCGGCAATGATGCTGAGAAGTGTATCCATGGCCTTATCCTGAGCAGTGTCAAGCATACCCTCACCTAATAGGGAGCTAAGATAACTTGCTCTGTCATACATTCTGGTTGTGGCTGCACTGACAAAACATACTCTTCACTTCTCATCCATCTTGGTTTATGTCTCTCCCTTGTGGATCTTGTGGGCAGTGATGCAGATGTAACATCTCCAGTTGAGTCATCCTCTGCGTGTTGTCTCGGGGTAGGGTCCGGAACAACAGGGATGTCTGTATCTGGGGGTGTCTCTTCTCCTGAGCAAAGGTCTCGTGAAGGTGTATCTTCCTGCTTACGATCCTGTGTAGTCCTATCAGTATCCTCTGTATCAGCGTTATCCACATATATCAGCATCAATGTTGTTCTTCCCTGGCCTGTACCGGATGCTGAAATTATATGCTGAGAGCGCAGCCAACCATCGATGACCAGTAACAAGGCGAGCAATGGTTAGAACATAGGTGAGAGGATTGTTGTCTGTGACAACTGCAAACTCATGTCCATACAAGTAATCATTGAACTTCTCTGAGATTGCCCACTTCAAACACAGAAACTCTAACTTATGTGCAGAGTAGTTTCTCTCAGACTTGTTCAAATCCCTACTTGCACAGGCAATCACTCGCAGTTGACCTTCCTGCTCCTGGTATAATACTGCTCCTAATCCATGAGTGCTGGCATCAATGTGAAGTTCAAAAGGTTTTGAAAAATCTACATATCCAAGTACGGGTGGTGTCGACAAGCGTGTCTTCAGTTCCCGAAAAGCCTGCTGACTTTGGCATGAGTTCTGACAGTGGTCTGGCAATCTTGGAAAAGTTCTTTACAAATTTCCTATAATAGCCAGCAAAACCAAGGAATTTCCGAACCTCTTCTGGATTGGATGGTGTGGGCCAGTCTCTAATCTTGCATACTTTCTCGGGGTCTGCCTCAATGCCATCTGATGAAACAATGTACCCCACGTATTTGACTGCGCTTGAAGAACTTGCACTTCTTTGGAGCCAGATCGAGTCCGCATTCCTGCAACCTACGGAAGACGAGCTCCAGTCTCTCCACATGTTACTCGTAGCTTTTTGAGAAAATTATCAGGTCATCCAGATAAATCAAGCATATCTTTAAGTGTAGTCCCTCAAGGCATTTCTCCATTAGCCGCAGGTATGTCGCAGGTGCGTTGGAAAGTCCCGAATGGCATTCTATTACATTCAGAATCCAAGTGGTCCAACTGTGAAAGCCGTTCTTTGCTTGTGTTCTTCTTCGACTTCCACTTGGTGATAGCCAATTCTTCATATCCAGCACCGAGAAAAATGTATTTCCACCAAGACATTCAAGGAGTTCTTCGATACGAGGGCCTGCATAGGAATCTTTAATGGTCTGAAAATTTAGCTCACGAAAGTCAATGCATAGCCTCAGACGTCCATCTTTCCGCTTTGCTAATACAAGGTTTGAGGCCCAAGGGCTGTGAGACCTTCTAATGACTCCAGCCGATATAAGTTCCTGAAGATGAGTCCTCACTTCTTCATACATAGCTGGAGGAATCCTACGATGTCGCTGTTTGAATGGTGTGTCGTCATATATGTCTATCCCGTGCTTTACCATGGAACAGTTGCCTAGATCATCATCCCTCTTTGAAAATATATCCAGATTATGTCGAGTCCATCGGCGATCTGTTCACGCGAGAGGACTTCCTTATCTATCTCCACTTGGTTAAGGATAGTGTCAGAGTCCACTGGTTTTCCTGGAGGCACATCTGTAACTACGACGGGCTGGAGTTCACAAAGTAAAGCTTTAGGGGGGATAACCAATGTGTGTGTTGTAATGTTAGAGACATGCACTTCTATTTCTGTTGGAGTATCACACTCATACTCGAGGTTTGCTGGGGCAATGTCAAGGTCGCTGGGTATAGCTGAGTTGACTGTGGCTTGAATGATGGCGCAGACCTGTGGGTAACAAATGGTAGTAGTACTGTTACAGGGGATCATGATGTTACATAACTTGAAAGATCTTACAAGTCCAAGTTTCCCCCTACTTTGCCAACTGTCTTTCACGTAGAACCATGGTGCGATAAGTCAGGTACCATGGAATATGGAGTCTTGCTCGCTGCAAGAACTGAACACCAACAGTATCTCGACAGTTGTCAAGAAGTCTTGAAAGGATATTTGTTCCCAAAAGTGCAGGCACTCTTCCATTATACCTTGTGTCAGTGACTACAAGCACTAGACATGATACGGCTCCATTGTCATTGCCACTGCCCATAGTCTTGATTCCAACCTGTACATATCCCATGTATGGTAATTGTTCCCCTCCTGCACATTCTATATCAAGTATATCATCAAGTGGACTGAGAGGAAGGTGGCTCAGATACGTTTCGCAGAAGGATTGTGACATCACTGATACAGTAGCACCTGTGTCTAACAAAGCCTGAACAGGTGTGTCTTCTATCCAGATGGTTACTTCAGTAGAGCTTCCAACTAAACCATCTGGAACATCACTTCTGGGACGTGAACAGAAACCTAAGGGTGGCCCCTCCCCATAGGCCTGGGCCAGTTTAAAGGGCGTCGCATGTGATCCATACGGACTCTGCATCCATAAGAAAGATGTCCTGGATAGCCACATCTCCAGCAGATAGGCACCTCTGACTCCGAAGCTGGCTGAACTCCTGTCGCTGGAGGAGCTATTGGTGCTGATGAATTGGGGTTATTCTGTTGGTAGGCTGGAGGTGAAATGCCAAACTGATTAGGTTGGTTCTGGCTGTTGCCCCTTTCCATAGAAGCTTGAGTCCAGTTACCAGTGTGTCTTCTTCCTCCATTGTTATGCCTTCCTCTTCCCCTGTGTCCGCGTGTAGGCCCGGAACGGCAGGAAAACTGAGCTTGATGCTGAAAAACTTGAGCGACCAGTGTGGAGCTCCTTAACCATAGCCTTCAACTCTGTTAATTCGCTCTTAGATTCCTTGGGCTCAGATGGCGTTGCCATGTTAATTGTAGCTGTCTTTGCCTTTGACTTGGTCTTGGAGGTTTCAGACTTTCCTCTCTTCAGATCAAACTCCATTTCCCGGAGGCACAAGCGCAGATCATCAAAACTGGAGATCGAATCATACTTGTAGCCGGCTAGAGTCTTCAATGACGGATTGAGTCCATCCCATAAGGGAGTGCGCAGCATATTGTCCTGTTCCGCCCGGGGAAAAGGTTTTTGTTTGGATAAATGGAACATAAGTCGATCTAGACGGCTGCTCCAGGTAGCGACATCCTCGACTTCTGCTTGACAGGCACTATAAAATTCTGACATAAGAGCAGAACTTCGTCGTTATGTTCCGAAAGCACTCTTCAGCTTGTGTAGTAATTCTTGGAAGTCTGCATGTGGCCCAAGCTTCATAGATATGATAGCTGCTTCTCCTTTAACCAATTCCGAATTTCTTGAAGGATGACGTCATGACTATGAGTCTTGGTTGCAATGAGGCATTCTACCTCGTAGATCCAGTGGTCATAGTCTGTGTCCTTTCCCGATTCGCCACTAAAAAACGGACGTTTAGGGAAGTGTCGATACGTAACATCACGGTGTGATGCTGGTGTTTGACCTCCATGTTCCTCCTCCTGTTTAACAGGATGTTCCTTTTGCGAGGTACCTTGTATCCAGGTTTTAAGATCTTCGGGTGATTCCACTGTAGGCTGGAGACCCATCTTCTTAAATGCAGGTAGCATGCTTTCCATTTCTTCCTGGCGTAACTCCATAGTGTTAATTGACACAATGCCAGAAGAAGAACTAAGAAAAGAAATAAAGAAAAGCAAAAACAAACTAATGGAATATATCCATTTGAGAAGTTGGCGTTATTGCTGATAACGTAAGAGCAATAGTTCATTGCAGAATGGTAAGGTATGGCGGATATACCGGGTTAATACACACGTGGCCATTGAAGGTCATGTGGCGAGTAAGAAGATGAGGACCTGATTGAAAACTGTCAGACAATCAAGTATGTAAAGCGAGAATGTGCCGCAAGTGGTTCGAACGGCCGTACATTACCACGCGATATAGGCAAATAGGTCACTCGGTGAGGCCAAAACAAGCGTTTGAAGTACGCAACGGCAACCTCGAAATTCAGAACAGACACCTGAACAAAATGTTTACTGAAAGCAACGTAAGCCTAATCTGAATGATACCCTTACGACTGGTCACATATGTGAGCAGGACAAACAACCAAATTGTATATACAACCACAATTATATTTCAAGAAAACAAACCATACATCACCAGGCCGGTAGATAACAAAAGTGAGCGAAGTGCAAGTGAGTTGTTCAAGGTAATATACTAAGGTGAGCAGTACCGTCCGTCACTCAGTCCAAACAATAACCAAGTTGAATAAATATACCTGTAAATGCTTACACTAGATTAGCTTTATCAGATTTTAGTTAATCAATTAGTTATTGATTTTAATTAGGTTGTCTTATTTTGTGTGTTTTTTAACTACATATTTGGTTCATTCACCCAATCATGCAAGAGAACTGAAAACAGAATAACTGAAGTATAGCTAAGAGACAGTAAACCAAATACTAAGAAGCTATGACGGGGATAAACACCACGTGGTTTGCTAAGTCAAAATAAATAAATAAATAAATAAATGGTACCATAAAGTAAACTAAGGCATGATGAACAAATGCCTGTATGTAAATATATAAGACTTAACAACTACAACTTTATTGTAATACTAAGTAACCTAAGGCATTTAACTAAGGTTGCATGTTATGACTGACAGGGTAACACAAATATAGAATGTCTTATGAGCAGAGCAAGTACAATGAACTAGTAAATAAGTAACATATTACATGTTGCATTTATTACAGGTTGTAAATTACAGATGTAAGGTATAGGGATGAAATAAAAAACAAACAATTTACAGGTTGAAAGAAACAATGGAGTAGTCATCTTACATCGTGGAAGAACAATCAGTTGCAACTGGTAATGTCCATGTCTATGACGGAAGCTTCCATAAAGTTTGGTTTGGTTTATCAAAGCTTAGAATGTCAATCACAATCACAAGATATGACGTCACAAAAATTCACAACATGGTGAAAGTTCAAAGTCACTGCTGACTGTACACTTGTATAGCTAGGGAGGAAATCATAGCATCAAGGAATGCACAAATCACAGTGGATATGATCCATGAATTATCACAAGATGTGGGTGTCCTGTATAGCACGTCGACCGCCTCCGTGGTGTAGTGGATAGAGCGTCCCCCGGAGAGCGGAAGGTCGCGGGTTCCATCCCCGACCGCGTCATACCAAAAAACGTTAAAATATGGTACTTGTTGGTCCCTGCCTGGCGCTCGGCATTAATGGGTACAACAAGAACTGGTCGGCTCGGAGTCAGTATAATGTGTCTGAGCGGGGTATTCATGCTTCACTGCGGCATGGTATCTCAGTGGGCTAGCACTAAAAAACCAGCTTTAGTCTGGGCTAGTACAAGCAGCCGCACATACACATACACACGCATGCACGTCGTCATATGAGCGAAATATTCTCAAGCACGACGTAAAACCCAATTTCACCTCACCTCACCTGTATAGCACGTCAGTTCCTCACTGGGGGTTCCATTGTTGCAGGGGTGAGTCAATAACAGTGACGAGCTGCGGGGGTGTTTGTGAGGTGTATATATATAGCCGCAAATTTAACGTTATATCGGCTCCACTTACGCGTCGCCGATATAACTAAATATGCGGCTATATAACCACCGGTATACATCACCAATTTGTCAAACCCAGTACGGTTATTCCCTAAGTAGATACATTACTAATTGTGAGCAACGTATTTAAAATCCATTCAAAGTTATACATTAGCACAAGCCCCTCGAAATGTATCTTTAGATCTAACTGGAGCAGTGCGCAACACAGCCAGAGATACAGGTCTTGCATACGGATCAGGAAATTCCGTTTTCTATTTTCGCTTTCGTTTCAACCACGGTCTGTGTTTCCAGGTAATGTATGTCTTCGCGGAACCTTGTACATGCGTAATGACAGAGACTCAGTAGCAGGGCCGAGACCCATCTGCCTCTTATGTCCTTGTGTGCTACACTGGGCAGTTCTTTGTTTTTGGTGACAAAACCAGGTGCGATAACAGGTAATTCCTAATCAACGCCTTGCCACGTTTTACGGTAAAAGTCTACATGTACCTTCCAGCAACGCGAGCAAGACACGAGACAATGATGTTGTCCCGTATACTCAAAGAATGTGAAGAGTTCTTCCAAATGAATAATAACAGTGTGTAATTTTAAATATTTTGACTAAGAGTTGTTACCTCATTGCGAATCAGAACCGCATAGATATCACATTCCAGGGTACCGTTGTACAAAGCTGTCTTAGCACTAAGGTAACCGTAACTCCCATACATTAACATAGACTTAAGGTAGTCTTATCACTAAGGCACCCTTGCAGGAATGTCATATACAGTCGAACCCCGTTTATCCGGACATTTTGGTTACACTCAAAAATATGTATGTATATTGCTGGTACGTATATGAGCAGGCTTTATCTGCAGTCGGCAGTATTTTGATACTGGCAGTATCTACTGACATGTTGCGTCATGTATAAAAATAGAACCTACCATTTCCTCGAATGATTGTGCAACACCTGGCTACAACGGTAAAATAGCAGGACGATATCAACGAGCTGGCAGTTGAAGGTGACGACCAGTTCTACTAGCTGACTGGTGAATTGTTTTAACAGCTTCACAGTAATATATTGATCATGTTATATGCTATGTAGTGAGTGCAAGCCTTGCTTCGTGGCTAAATCGTGTGTAAAGGTAAGTTATTATGTAGCTCAGCAAGTATTTCTGTTCTTACATTGGATCCGTGGATATCCGGGTTGAAATTGGTCTTCAGCAATCCGTGCTTGGTGTGAGAGACGACTAACGGAATCGGGTGGTCAGACTCGCCCACTTGGTTGATGTATGTGATCGTGTCATAATTACGTAGATCAATGCTCATGATGTGATTCACACTATTGTTTGGTCCAGACTCGATTATTTACAGACCCCCGCCATATAGCTGGACTCACTCACTCACTCACTCAGTGCAGCGTTAAGAGATGAACGAACAAACTGTTCTAACATGTATATGTTCACAGATATCGTTGTTTGAGTTAAGGTATTTATAGCTATTGCAGATGACATCAATGAAAGGTCAAAACCATCTGTGGTTCTATCTGTTTCTCCAAATGCAGGTTTTTTATAAGGCTAACTGGGTAGCTGCTTGGTGTCGATAGTTCACTGATGGTCAAGATGTTCTATCAGTGTCATCCATCAGCTCTAAAGCAAAATACGTGATATTTCATAGTGACTGACTGACTGAGTTTGGTTTTACGCCGCTTTTAGCAATATTCCAGCAATATCACGGTGGGGGACACCAGAAATGGGCTTCACATATTGTACCAATTTTTTGGTTCGAACCCAGGTCTTCGTCGTGACGAACGAATACTTTAACCACAAGGTTACCCCACGGGCCCTAATATTTCACAGAGACACTGATTTATATAATATATATGATTAATAAGATTATTTGTATGTATATTTAACAAGTATGTAGCATTTCAGTTTTTTGGTTTACTAGCACAGTTTGTAATTTTAATTGGAACTGTTTTTCAGAGTAACCTATCAATATGTCAACTAACAGTGCGTGCAGCGTTTGTGAGAGGAGATCACCCAAACTTAAAGCATGTTCCAAATGCCATCTAACTCCTTACTGCTCCAAGGAATGTCAGAGAAAAGACTGGAAAAGGCACAAAGCATGGTGTGAAGGGATTCAGAAAAGTTTCAGCAACAGAGAAACTTCTCAGCAAGAACACGATACAGCAATTACCAAAGGACAAACGTCATCTTCTGGTGCTGTTTCCGGAGGCTTGAATCAAGCGAAGGGAGGGAAGAGTCCTGTGGACATCAGTGGATCTGCCCCGCAAGAGAGGAAAGCCTGCAACTGGTGCCAGAAGGTCTGTGAGCAGTATCAAAGATGTTCCAGGTGCAAGGTCACAAGGTACTGCTCAACCGCGTGTCAAAGAAAGGATTGGCTCGATGGTCATCAGAAGGAGTGCAAGCCTTTGGTTTCGCAATCTGGAACGTCTGGTACAAATGGTACATGTGTAGCACCCTTAAAAGAAAAAGACAACGGTGCAGATGAACAGCGCGACCCTGCGAATGTCACGGAAGAAAATCCTGAGATCTCCTATGTGTGTGAGTGGTGTCAGAAATATATCGACTTACCCTTACGCTGTTCCGGATGTACACTGGTCACCTATTGCTCAGAAGAATGTAAGACGAAGGACTGGGAATTAGAACACAAAACAAAGTGCGAAAATAACAGGAAACCCAAAGTGGCCAAGCCAGTTAATCCTCCCAAACCCTCAGAAAAGGCTTGGACGAAGGATCACCACAGGGGGGTGTAAGGGAACAAAACCGCCCCGTGAGAAGACTACTGAACAGCCCGCTGCTGCTACAGAGGATAGAAAGGCAGATGGAGCTGCGGCCAGGACCACTTCCGGTGATCCAGAGCTTGAAAGGTGCCATCGCTGCAAGAAGAGAGGCGATGGAATGAAGAAATGCGCCCGTTGCAAGAATGTACTTTACTGCTCAAAGTCATGTCAGAAGGAGGACTGGCCTCAGCACAAACATGATTGCATAACTGTTGATGGTGTCATCAAAACAAAGGAATTTGAGAAAGCTGAAGAAGAATCTCGTCGGTCTTCTGAAGCTGCAGGCGGACCCCGAATGACGCCTGCTGATCTATTGGCACATATGATGGGATTGGGCCCATTCAATGCCAGGCCAAGTGCGGACTGGTCAGAGGCTAGGCGTATAGCTGAAACAAAGTTCCTGGGCTATGACATTATAGACTCCCTGTGTGACCTACAAGGAGAGTTTTTATGGATGACACCAGTTACTCGGAACAAGGTACTGTTGGCTTATATCAGTGGCTTACACCCGTACCAGGCCAGGCATGCCATCTTCATAAAGGTACGTTCTTTAATTATACAGGTACGTTCGGTCTTAGTATATGACCTTGTGCATAGTGGCCATGCTATTTACATTGCACAATATGTCTTACAGCATGGTCCACACAATCGAACTGATTATCCAGCGAGATGCTGTTTGTGAATGTTAGACTTTGAATTCGAACATACTCTCAAAAGCGAACATATTTTACAGAAAAGAATAAAGTTCTTAAATTGTCTTTATAAAATATAATGAAAAAGAGCTTACAGACTTTCGTCATTTTCATAAACTGAAACTGCAGTAATCTATAAATACGCTATGACATTTAGAGAGTGGTCAAGTATATCACATGTTATGTTTGTCATTACACTTTCTCTGTACAGTTCCGATTCAAGTACTTTTGTTAGATCGAATCCTATCCGGAATTCGAGCCCTTACTCCCCGAGTCAGGCATCTAATCGCCAGCACATAAAGTCAGCGATCTTAACCCATCCATCCACTGTGTCTTCGTCCTGGAAGACCGCCATATAGCTGGAATATTGTTGGGTGCGGCGTTAAGCAACGATTAATCATCTTTGTGGAAGCCGCGTTGGCTGAATGAATTAGATCCACCAAAGACGTATATACGTCTTTGGATCCACACATAATATTTCTAGCCGCCTTCCCACTGGGGACCGCCTCCGTGGTGTAGTGGTTAGAGCGTCCACCCGGAGAGCGGAAGGTCGCGGGTTCGATCCCCGACCGCGTCATACCAAAAGACGTTAAAATATGGTACTTGTTGGTCCCTGCCTGGCACTCGGCATTAATGGGTACAACAAGAACTGGTCGGCTCGGAGTCAGTATACTGTGTCTGAGTGGGTTATTCATGCTTCACTGCGGCATGGGCTAGCACTATAAAACCAGCTTAAGTCTGGGCTAGTACAAGCAGCCGCACATACACATACACACGCATGCACGTCGTCATTTGAGAGAAATAATCTCAAGCACGACGTAAAACCCAATTTCACCTCACCTCACCTCCCACTGGGCGTTTATTCCACTCAAGGGGAGATAATTACTAGCAAGTTCATGCTATATCTCTGTTTCAGGACGTGAACGGGGATGAGACGTTTGTGATGTTCTACGTGGACTTCGACAGCCCCTACCCTTTCTTCTCCTGGGGGCAGCTCACGCCCGGCAACTACATCTGTATCAAGAACGCAGTGTTCCATAATTTCCTGGATGGCACAACAGGCATCAGAGTTGATGAAGCCTCAGATGTCAGGATCCTATGCTAGAGTTTAAATCCTGGCTGCTGGTATGAACGCGAGGACTATTTAAGAACTGTATTATTCAGATCACTGGTGAAAGGTATTTTCAGTAATACAAGACAATTCCATGGTTCTCATAACGAGAACTGGTATTAGATTATATTTTTTACACTTCGTGAGGACTATCCCACTCTGTTATTGTTGACATGTTCAGGTTATCGAGTTGTGCGTTTGAAGATTTAAACTGTTCATTTATTGATTTTCACAAAAGATTATGTTCTAGTTTAGTTTGGATTCAAGACACCATGTGTGCCATGGCTAATTCGTGTGGTCAGCCAAAGGGCAAGGTTTGTAAATACCTTAATTTATTCTAGTTAGGGCGAAATAGCAGTTGTGTTGTCAGTGAGTCTCCTAACAGGGGTAAGCTGGTTAGCAAATGGTATTGAACCCATCTAAATAGAAACTGTGTTTTAATATTCAAGTTCTGCTTTACCCATTGTCATAATTATTCTTTTAGTCCTCGCTATAAATGTATAGCTGCTGAAATTTTTTATTTGCTTTTGTTGCACCAAGGTATTTGAACCAATTAAACTGCAGAGAAATTTGTTATGATGATTTATAGAAATATGTCTTTTGTTACTTTTAGGACTGAAACACCATCATTGCCTGCCATTATCCGTCAATACATTTAGCTTATCTATAGGTTTGTGCGCTGTTTAAATGTGGTCTGTAAAATGGTACAAAAAGACGCTTCCGGCATGCCGAATTCAATAATTACCTGTAAAACATCGCTGCGCTAAAAATTGTTTTGTATTATTTCAGTTTTCAACAACCTGTAAATAAAACGAAGTGTGTTGTCAGTTATTTATTATGTGAATCTGTATACATGCATAGCGAGATAATATGCATGATGATTGATTAAACACAAGCGCGCGCGCACGCACACACACACACACTCTCTATCACACACTCACACACACACATATATATATATATATATATATATATAAAATGGCTGATGAGGGCTACCCTTTTTATCGGACAAGAGGGTTAGTGTTCACTCTCACTCGTTGAGTAGGCTGTCATTGATGTGTTCATTTCAAATTTAAGGACTAAATGGTAATGTTCGTGAGAAATGGGTGAGTGAGTATGGTTTAATATCACGGCGGGGGACACCGGAAATGGGCTTCACGCTTTGTACCCATGTGAGGAATCGAACCCGGGTCTTTGACTTAACGAGTGGACGCTTTAACCACAAGGCTACCTCACCGCCCCTTCAAAAAAGTGAACTATTTCAGTATATATGTCAAAAGCGATGGTAATTATATCATGATCTGTGAAACAGCATGCTTCTGGAATACACCACTCATAAAGACCGAAATGTCAGGTAATCACACCAGAGTCCCCCCCGTATAAGTACAAATACTGAGAAAAAAACAGCAACCTTTTAGGAAATAGACATATCAAACTCAAACAGTGCGCCTTTTCTACTACTAAGAGAACTGTTCTCTAAATGTGAAAAAATAATCCATGCAGTACTTTTCAAGATATGGGTCGCATAAATGTTGAAGTACAAATTCTAAATAAAAAATAATTTTTCAGAAAATCCAAATAACTCATCTTTCCTATTTCTATAGGAAGTGTTCAGAGAGTTCGAAAGGCATATAGACAGCAGTTCTCCAGTTATAGATGACACAAGAATGTCCTCGGAAGGACGGGTGGACGGAATTCCTTGATATAACTCTGTTTCGTTATTACACATGCAGGGAAATCAGTGATCAACCTGTCACTTTAAATATCAATCATTACCCGTGATGATTAGTTGTTTAACGCCGAGATGTTGCCTGCTCCACCAGCACGGCTGTCGTCGGCGTTGCCAGATCACGGGATATGTACCGGTGAGGATACTGTGACCAATGTGTGACGTTTGTTAACCCTTAGTGTGTCGCGACAATAAGTTGTATGTCCACCTTCGGCAGGGGCGGGTCAGTAACTGTAACATGGGAAATAAGAACAAACGACCTGTTCTGATTGACAGAATCACGTGGTTTACAGTCATACAATACATTGATTGGTTGTTTAACGCCGCACTCACGAATATTCCGGCTATATGTCGGCGGTCTGTAAATGATCAAGTCAGATTATCCAGTGATCAACAGCATGAGCATCGATCTATGCAACTGGGATACGATGACATGTGTCAACCAAGTCTGCGAGCGTGACCACCCGATCCCGTTAGTCGCCTCTTACGACAAGCATGGTTAACTAAAGACCAATTCCCCAGTAAACACCCTGAGGAATTGGGGGCGGCAGGTTCGATTCCCAACGTTGGTACAATGTGTATCCCCCGACTTGATATTGCTGGAATATTGATAAAGGCGACGTAAAACTAAACTCACTCACTCACCAGGAGGAGTTGAATATACAGCCCCAGCAAACCAGGAAGTCAAGACTAATGCAGTGTTTGCCTGTAGATCTACGACACACACAATAGGTTATTATATCACAACACATAATGTTACTCAACGGACATACTATACACCAAGAACCTAATTAAGAACCCCCTGTAATTTTGCAATGATAGGTTTTCAACACGTACATAAAACTTCTCGTGGAGACCACGACCGTATAATCCCTTGACTGGTCAGAGGCTAGGCGTATAGCTGAAACAAAGTTCCTGGGCTATGACATTATAGACTCCCTGTGTGACCTACCAAGAGAGTTTTTATGGATGACACCAGTTACTCGGAACAAGGTACTGTTGGCTAATATCAGTGGCTTACATCCGTACCAGGCCAGGCATGCCATCTACATAAAGGTACGTTCTTTAATTATACAGGTGCGTACGGTCTTAGTATATGACCTTGTGCATAGTGGTCATGCTATGTATATTGCACAATATGTCTTACAGCATGGTCCACACAATCGAACTGATTATCCAGCGAGATGCTGTTTGTGAATGTTAGACTTTGAATTCGAACATTCTCTCAAAAGCGAACATATTTTACAGAAAAGAATAAAGTTCTTAAATTGTCTTTATAAAATATAATGAAAAAGAGCTTACAGACTTTCGTCATTTTCATAAACTGAAACTGCAGTAATCTATAAATACGCTATGACATTTAGAGAGTGGTCAAGTATATCACATGTTATGTTTGTCATTACACTTTCTCTGTACAGTACCGATTCAAGTACTTTTGTTAGATCGAATCCTATCCGGAATTCGAGCCCTTACTCCCCGAGTCAGGCATCTAATCGCCAGCACATAAAGTCAGCGATCTTAACCCATCCATCCACTGTGTCTTCGTCCTGGAAGACCGCCATATAGCTGGAATATTGTTGGGTGCGGCGTTAAGCAACGATTAATCATCTTTGTGGAAGCCGCGTTGGCTGAATGAATTAGATCAACCAAAGACGTATATACGTATATACGTCTTTGGAACCACACAGAATATTTCTAGCCGCCTTCCCACTGGGGACCGCCTCCGTGGTGTAGTGGTTAGAGCGTCCGCCCGGAGAGCGGAAGGTCGCGGGTTCGATCCCCGACCGCGTCATACCAAAAGACGTTAAAATATGGTACTTGTTGGTCCCTGCCTGGCGCTCGGCATTAATGGGTACAACAAGAACTGGTCGGCTCGGAGTCAGTATACTGTGTCTGAGTGGGTTATTCATGCTTCACTGCGGCATGGGCTAGCACTATAAAACCAGCTTAAGTCTGGGCTAGTACAAGCAGCCGCACATACACATACACACGCATGCACGTCGTCATTTGAGCGAAACAATCTCAAGCACGACGTAAAACCCAATTTCACCTCACCTCACCTCCCACTGGGCGTTTATTCCACTCAAGGGGAGATAATTATTAGCAAGTTCATGCTATATCTCTGTTTCAGGACGTGAACGGGGATGAGACGTTTGTGATGTTCTACGTGGACTTCGACAGCCCCTACCCTTTCTTCTCCTGGGGGCAGCTCACGCCCGGCAACTACATCTGTATCAAGAACGCAGTGTTCCATAATTTCCTGGATGGCACAACAGGCATCAGAGTTGATGAAGCCTCAGATGTCAGGATCCTATGCTAGAGTTTAAATCCTGGCTGCTGGTATGAACGCGAGGACTATTGAAGAACTGAACTATTCAGATCACTGGTGAAAGGTATTTTCAGTAATACAAGACAATTCCATGGTTCTCATAACGAGAACTGGTATTAGATTATATTTTTTACACTTCGTGAGGACTATCCCACTCTGTTATTGTTGACATGTTCAGGTTATCGAGTTGTGCGTTTGAAGATTTAAACTGTTTATTTATTGGTTTTCACAAAAGAATATATATGTTCTAGTTTAGTTTGGATTCAAGACACCATGTGTGCCATGGCTAATTCGTGTGGTCAGCCAAAGGGCAAGGTTTGTAAATACCTTAATTTATTCTAGTTAGGGCGAAATAGCAGTTGTGTTGTCAGTGAGTCTCCTAACAGGGGTAAGCTGGTTAGCAAATGGTATTGAACCCATCTAAATAGAAACTGTGTTTTAATATTCAAGTTCTGCTTTACCCATTGTCATAATTATTCTTTTAGTCCTCGCTATAAATGTATAGCTGCTGAAATTTTTTATTTGCTTTTGTTGCACCAAGGTATTTTAACCAATTAAACTGCAGAGAAATTTGTTATGATGATTCATAGAAATATGTCTTTTGTTACTTTTAGGACTGAAACACCATCATTGCCTGCCATTATTCGTCAATACATTTAGCTTATCTATAGGTTTGTGCGCTGTTTAAATGTGGTCTGTAAATTGGTACAAAAAGACGCTTCCGGCATGCCGAATTCAATAATTACCTGTAAAAAATTGTTTTGTATTATTTCAGTTTTAAACAACCTGTAAATAAGACGAAGTGTGTTGTCAGTTATTTATTATGTGAATCTGTATACATGCATAACGAGATAATATGCATGATGATTGATTAAACACAAGCGCGCGCGCACGCACGCACGCACGCACACACACACACACATATATATATATATATTATATAAAATAGCTGATGAGGGCTACCCTTTTTATCGGACAAGAGGGTTAGTGTTCACTCTCACTCGTTGAGTAGGCTGTCATTGATGTGTTCATTTCAAATTTAAGGACTAAATGGTAATGTTCGTGAGAAATGGGTGAGTGAGTATGGTTTAATATCACGGCGGGGGACACCGGAAATGGGCTTCACGCTTTGTACCCATGTGAGGAATCGAACCCGGGTCTTTAACTTAACGAGTGGACGCTTTAACCACAAGGCTACCTCACCGCCCCTTCAAAAAAGTGAACTAATTCAGTATATATGTCAAAAGCGATGGTAATTATATCATGATCTGTGAAACAGCATGCTTCTGGAATACACCACTCATAGAGACCGAAATGTCAGGAAATCACACCAGAGTACTCCCCGTATAAGTACAAATACTGAGAAAAAAACAGCAACCTTTTAGGAAATAGACATATCAAACTCAAACAGTGCGCCTTTTCTACTACTAAGAGAACTGTTCTCTAAATGTGAAAAAATAATCCATGCAGTACTTTTCAAGATATGGGTCGCATAAATGTTGAAGTACAAATTCTAAATAAAAAATAATTTTTCAGAAAATCCAAATAACTCATCTTTCCTATTTCTATAGGAAGAGTTCAGAGAGTTCGAAAGGCATATAGACAGCAGTTCTCCAGTTATAGATGACACAAGAATGTCCTCGGAAGGACGGGTGGACGGAATTCCTTGATATAGCTCTGTTACGTTATTACACATGCAGGGAAATCAGTGATCAATCTGTCACTTTAAATATCAATCATTACCCGTGATGATTAGTTGTTTAACGCCGAGATGTTGCCTGCTCCACCAGCACGGCTGTCGTCGGCGTTGCCAGATCACGGGATATGTACCGGTGAGGATACTGTGACCAATGTGTGACGTTTGTTAACCCTTAGTGTGTCGCGACAATAAGTTGTATGTCCACCTTCGGCAGGGGCGGGTCAGTAACTGTAACATGGGAAATAAGAACGAACGACCTGTTCTGATTGACAGAATCACGTGGTTTACAGTCATACAATACATTGATTGGTTGTTTAACGCCGCACTCACGAATATTCCGGCTATATGTCGGCGGTCTGTAAATGATCAAGTCAGATTATCCAGTGATCAACAGCATGAGCATCGATCTATGCAACTGGGATACGATGACATGTGTCAACCAGGTCTGCGAGCGTGACCACCCGATCCCGTTAGTCGCCACTTACGACAAGCATGGTTTACTAAAGACCAATTCCCAAGTAAACACCCTGAGGAATTGGGGGCGGCAGGTTCGATTCCCAACATTGGTACAATGTGTATCCCCCGACTTGATATTGCTGGAATATTGATAAAGGCGACGTAAAACTAAACTCACTCACTCACCAGGAGGAGTTGAATATACAGCCCCAGCAAACCAGGAAGTCAAGACTAATGCAGTGTTTGCCTGTAGTTCCACCAACCTATGTCGTCATAGGGATTCCGTGAGATGTGCGCATGCGTAAACCATCAGTTTGCGTTCTGCTAGACATCGGTGATTAACGAAGCTTCATTGAACAACTAATTAATTTGAGCTGTCCAAGTGAATACTTGACACACCTGCAATATCTGTGCTTCTGCGATAACCTGCGGGTGTCGTGAACGACTTGAAAGCACTCAGTGGGTGAATCCCAGCTGAATTTCTACACTATTTGACCAAACGGCTGCGGCCGGGGTCAGGGGTTGAAGACCAGAGTTCAAAATGGCGACCCCACTGCGAGAGAATCATCTGGCATCGGAGAGTGAGATCAGTGACTGTGAAGCAGTCGACTGTAAACCTCGTCAAAATGTTTTTGACGTTGCTGAAAGATTTCAGCACAACGGACAATATGAAATGGATGTAGAGGGTGCTAACAAGAAATAGCTAGGTATCAGTGCCAGTGGTGCAGTCGGGAAAGTAGGTCAAGCGAGACCTTGCAGTAAGACACAGGCTCTGCAGTCAGTCAGTGAACCAGACGACTCGCAGCAGATCAAAGATGTTATGTCAACATCCGTAGAGACTCAGGCTGCACAAACAGAGACTATGAAGGGTATTTCAGTCTTTTTGAGTGGATTAAAAACAGTTTGAGAAGATCGAGACTTCGCTTAATTCCGGACAGACACGGATAGTGCCGAGCGGAAGTAAACAAACCGACAGCCATGTTGAAGATGGCGAGGTCACTGATAATGACAACAGCGAGTGTGATGAGTTAGACAGTCTCGACAAGTGGGTGTCTGAGTGCGTGAATGACAACACAGCAGTTGTTGATGACCAAAATGCATCAGATGTCATTGACGACCTGTTTGCAGAAATGCGGTCGTTTATCGGTGAGGACGACGATACATCGCTGCCTGTCAACCAAGGTCTTGCTACATCGGTGAGGGATGGGCTACAAAAACCGGTAAATCAGGAAAAGTTGAAAGAGCTTTTCGCTAAGTATAAACGGCCGGAAAATTGTTTAAACCTCCTTGCACCTCGTGTAAATGAGGAGATATGGTGTGAGGCGAGGAAAACATCTCGTACTTCAGACATCAAGGCGCAGCAACTACAGGGTATGATTGCCAAAGCTACCATACCAATTGTGCAGTTGATGGACAATGTGATGGAGGACATGGTGGCGAAGAGAGAGCTAGATGCCAAAACAGTTCTCAACAAGGCAAAAGATTCATTGCGGATGCTCATTGCAGCACTATCAAATATGAATTCTTCAAGAAGGCAAAATTTTAAATCTCAAACAATCTCGACCCGGTTATCACCAACAAGAACTTACTCTGGTTGGGTTCAGTGACCCAACTCTGTGTGTGGTTAGTACTATGAGATTGTATCTGGAGCTGACAAAGGACATCGGACATGGTGAAACTGCTTTGCTCATTTCTTTTCAAAAACCTCACCAGAGAGTCAGCAAGGACACTATAGCTAGATGGACGAAAACTGTGTTAAGAAATGCTGGTGTTAACATGGACATATTCACTGCTCACAGTGTGAGATCAGCAAGCACCAGTTCAGCACTTAAAAACAGTGTGCCTATTCAGACTGTACTAAACACTGCTGGGTGGACAAAAGACTGTGTTTTCAGGAAGTTCTATAACAAACCCATCTGCAGTGATGAGCAATTTAGTACACAAGTTCTTGAATCTCATAAGAGCAAAACTTAAGTTATTGAAGTGTTGCAATCTATTGACCAATATGCTGTACTTGTTTTATGATGTTTATCATTGAGCTAACTAGTTTAGAAGATGTTTGCTTGCTGAATAGCATTACCCTAGTTCTGTTTTGAGAAATTTCCACTAAGTAACTCCTTCATTGCTATGTGGAATAGAGTATCACTTAGGAAGTTGTTGTCACTTGACCTATAATTGTGAGCCTCGATACAATTATTTGAGTGCAAAACTTGTTGTGTTGTGCATATTTTGTTCTTGGATTAGCTGTGAAAATATGATACTACTCTAAAAATCTCACGGAATCCCTATGACGACATAGGTTGGTGGAATTAAACAGTTAAGCGAGACTTACCTGTAAGTTGAAGGTTGACTAGAATTCCACCAACCTATGACGTAGGGATTACATGCCCGCCACACCCACCCATATGCACTTAGTATCAATTTTCCGTTAAAAACTGATGGTTTACGCATGCGCACATCTCACGTAATCCCTACGTCATAGGTTGGTGGAATTCTAGTCAACCTTCAACTTACAGGTAAGTCTCGGTTAACTGTTTAAATCTACGACACACACAATAGGTTATTATATCACATCAAATAATGTTACTCAACGGACATACTATACACCAAGAACCTAATTAAGAACCCCCTGTAATTTTGCAATGATAGGTTTTCAACACGTACATAAAACTTCTCGTGGAGACCACGACCGTATAATCCCTTGACTGGTCAGAGGCTAGGCGTATAGCTGAAACAAAGTTCCTGGGCTATGACATTATAGACTCCCTGTGTGACCTACCAAGAGAGTTTTTATGGATGACACCAGTTACTCGGAACAAGGTACTGTTGGCTAATATCAGTGGCTTACATCCGTACCAGGCCAGGCATGCCATCTACATAAAGGTACGTTCTTTAATTATACAGGTGCGTACGGTCTTAGTATATGACCTTGTGCATAGTGGTCATGCTATGTACATTGCACAAATATGTCTTACAGCATGGTCCACACAATCGAACTGATTATCCAGCGAGATGCTGTTTGTGAATGTCAGACTTTGAATTCGAACATTCT